GATATATTCTCCTCGTGTACCTTTTCACTGTTTATTTTATTGTTCTGTTATTTTACCTCTGTTCTGTTTACACGCTTGTCATTCCTTCCTTTTTATTGCTGGGAGTCGCCCCACGGCGGGATACATTTTTAAAAAGCAATAATGAAAAATGCTCGTGGGAACACTTGATTAGATTTCTGCCTTCTCCTTCTCTTTTTCCCAAAATCCAATCCCTTCTCCGTAACCTTTCTCTAACCGCAAGAGGCTTTTAATTTAACTTTTTAATTGCCCCCCCCAAAAAAAGTTTACCATCGGCAGAAATTGGGAGCACAAATCCTGCCTCGGTTTTCCAGGGAAGTTATGTTCCCGTCCTCCCCCTCCATCCTGCATCTCCATAAATCAGATCTTTCCTTGTGTGTTTTCAACCCTGGATAGCAAACTATAAAACTATGGCTGGCTTTTTTTTTTTTTCTTCCGAAATTACTCGCAGTTGCCCACACGGTGTGCCAGTGGGAGAACTGCCTGGTTTTTGCTTTAAACATGATAATAATTTTTTTTAAAAAAAGAATTATTAGGAAGGGGAAACAGGCTGAGGTGTGTTTCCTCTGGCACCCCTGAGTGCCAGGGAAGAATGTGGGCAGGGGACCTCATTTTTTCTTTACCCTTTGGAGAAGTTCCTAGGTTACGCCGTTCTTAAGCGAGAGGACAGCAAAGAATTCAACCGTGCCCACTGCTCCCTTGCCTCTTCCCCCCCCCCCCCACAAAAGGCTGAATCAACAGCTGGTGTCCTGCCACAACGGGCCCACAATGACTCCTCTTTGGGCAGACAATATACTTGTCATGGGAAAACATAAAACCTGCAATTAATGGAATGGTCTCCTGGCTGCTCTTTTCAGCCCGGACAATGAGAGGCAACTGGAAGAGAAAGATTAAACCTCCCCGGGAAGCCAGCTAAATGGCCCCTGTCGAGATTTGTTTTTGCAATAAAATAAAATAAAATAAAACTCCCCAATCGAAAGCGCAGAGGGACAGCAACGGCGGAGCCGTCCACGGAAGGAGGCGCAGATCCGTTCCGAACCCCCCGGGGGTTTATGCCATCGATGGCTAATAGATCAAAAATAGATGGGCGGCTTTTTTTTTTAATTTTATTTGGGATGGTTCAATTAAGTCATTTTAGATGGCAGGCTTAATTAGGCCAAGCCTCCAGAAGCGGTGAATGCTCCAACACGGGAAGTTTTTAAGAAGAGACTGAACACTATTTGTCTGAAATGATGTAGGGTTTCCTGCCTGAGCAGGGGGTTGGACTAGATGACCTCCAAGGTCCCTTCCAACTTTATTATTATTATTATTAAGCCAGGCAGGCTGCCTCTTCCCTCTGGAGGTCCAGGTTCAGCTTGGATCGCTTGGTGTCTGTTGCTAAGCAAAGCGCCATCCATCGTCATCATCATCCTAACCATTGTCCATCCGCTGCGCGATGAAGGCCTTGTGGGAAGTCAGCTCCTCCCCAGAGAAGGAAATATTAAAAGGGCAGAAAAACATATTTCCTCAAAGGAGCTTAAAGAGGCAGAAAAACATGCCCAGTTTTTCTTAATAGCCCCAAGTCTCCCTCCCCCAAGCAGAAAGCAGCTCTGTAGAAATGCAGGCGTAAATAATCCATTCAGGAAGATAGGAGGACTCCAGCTAGAAGTTTAGGAAGATAAAGACATCCAACATCTACATACCCTACCCATACTCTAAGACAGGACATAATAGGATTAAACCACAGATGCCAAAGAGGCACACTGGGCAGCCATTTGTCTGAAATGGTATAGGGTTCCCTGCCTGAGCAGGGGGTTGGACTAGATGACCTCCAAGGTCCCTTCCATCATCATCATCATCGATGGATAACTTTTCTCTTCAAGCATAGAGGGAGACTGTTCTTGAAAATTATGCTTAGCTTGCCGAATCCCTGCCAATCCCATTTTGCACTTTCATAGGAATACAAAGGGAAGGTGCTGAACCAGAGGGAGATTCCTAGTTTCCCGAGAGATTTTGGCAGAGACCTTTGTGGAAAAAGGAAGCGAGGGAGAGGAAACAAGCAAATGTGCTGGAAATCTGGCCGTTGTAGGGCCAGCTCACCTCTGTCGCAACCTTGCTTTTCCAAAACACTTGCAAGGAGCCAGGAATTTGAGGGGGTGGCAGGGAATCCCCTCTTAACCAGAAAAAGTTTGAAAACAAGGGCAGCCAGAAAGTTTTTCAGATTTATCCCATTTATAGATTTACCCTTTGTTTATTGTTACGGAGAGCCTGTTCGGTCTGAAGGTGTAAGTGTGCTAGCTAGGAACCAGGAGACTCCGAGTTCAAGTCCTGCCTTAGGCCTGAACGTTGGCCGGGAGACTTTGGGCCAGTCCCTCTGTCTCAGCCCAACCCACCTCGCAGGGTTCTTGTGAGGAAAATTGGAAGAGGGAGGAGCGTTAGGCATGTTCACCAGGCCTTGAGTTGAGCATGAAAAAATAGTAGGATGGAAAAGAGTATATTTTTGGGTAAGGTTTTTATTATTATCAATAATAATAATAATAATGATAATAAAGTTGGAAGGGACCTTGGAGGTCATCTAGTCCACCCCCCTGCTCAGGCAGGAAACCCTATACCATTTCGGACAAATGGCTGACCAGTCTCTTCTTCAAAACTTCCAGTGTTGGAGCCTTCACCGCTTCTGGAGGCAGGTTGCTAATAATAATAATAAAATCAGAAGGGACCTTGGAGGTCATCTAGTCTAACCCACTGCTCAGGCAGGAAATCATATCCCATTTCGGACAAATGGCTGTCCAGTCTCTTCTTCAAAACCTCCAGTGTTGGAGCATTCACCACTTCTGGAGGCAGGTTGTTCCACTGGTTCATTGTTCTCACTGTCAGGAAATTTCTCCTTAGTTCTAGGTTGCTTCTCTCCTTGATGAGTTTCCATCCGTTGCAATTCAGTAGTAATTATACAACAAACACGTTTTCTGAGTTTATCATTCACTAATACGAATTTAATTTCTAATCCTTTATTCTTGGAAAAAGAGCATTTTTTTAAAAAAAAAACCTGCTGTGCTAAATAAACAATTCCCTACGTGTCTTTTTTAAATTTCTGAAATAAGAACTATTCCACCAGTCTACAGGTGAAGTCCCTGACTTACGACCACGATGGAGCCCATTTCTGTTGTTAAGTGAGACCTTGGTCAAGTGAGTTTTGCCCCATTTTGCGACCTATCGCCACCGTTGTTCAATGAATCGCTGCAGTTGATCCGTCGGTAACCCGGTTGTTAAGTGACATCCGGCTTCCTCCCGTTGACTTTGCTTTCCGGAAGGTCGTCAAAGGGGATGATCCCGTGATCCCGGGACACTGCGACCGTCCTAAGTATGAGTCAGTTGCCAAGCGTGTGAATTTTGATCACGTGACCGTGGAGGCATGCTTCAAAAGTCATAGCTGGGTGAAATGGTCGTAAGTCACTATTTTCCAGTGCTGTTGTAACTTTGAGGACCACCTGTACTTCAAAGGGACATCGGTGTGTAGAAGACTTAGCTATCCCTCGTCTTCCTGAATGTGAAGTTTGTTTAAGTTGCATCAAAGTTAGAACAAGCCTGCATCACACTTGGGGTTCCGTTACGGCTCTTGGGTGTCCTCCAAGAAGAAGGGTTAACACCCCCCTCTTCCAGATCTTCAGGGGGGGCATTCTGAGGTTTTTGTCTGGGCCTGGGAGGCACCATCACCTCCAAGAAAGAGTCAGAATCAGAGTAGAGCTGGAAGGGACCTTGGAGGTCTTCTAGTCCAGCCCCCTGCTAAAGCAAGAAACTCTAGGCCAGGGGTAGGCAACCTTGCCTCTTTTATGACTCGTGGACTTCAACTCCCAGAATTCCTGAGCCAGCATGAGGGAAACTTTGGCCCCCTCATCACTCGTGGACTTGAACTCCCAGAATTCCTGAGCCAGCATGGCTCAGCTTGGAAACCTCTCCCTTTCCCCTCAGCATGGCTGGCTCAGGAATTCTGGGTATTGACGTCCACGAGTCATAAAAGAGCCAAGGTTGCCTACCCCTGCCCTATACCATTCCAAGACTGTCCAGCCTCTTCTTAAAAACCTCCAGTGATGGAGGAGGACCCACAGCGTCTTGTGGCAAGCCGTTCCACTGGTTAATTGTCCTCCCTGTTAGGAAGTTTCTCCTTAATTCCAGCTTGCTTCTCTCCTGGGACCTTGGAAGTCAGGAAGTTGCAGGAAGTTTTTCAGACAGATGTCTAATTTAATTCTTTAATTTTTTGTCAGAAAAAGAAATTTCGATATATATATATATATATATATATATATATATATATATATATATATATATATATATATATATATATATATATGGACCTTGGAAGTCTTCTAGTCAGAATAAGAGCTGGAAGGGACCTTGGAGGTCTTCTAGTCCAGCCCCCTGCTCAAGCAGGAGACTGTGTACCATTTCAGACAAGGGACTGTCCAGTCTCTTCTTAAAAACCTCCAGTGATGAAGCACCCACAACTTCTGGTGGCAAGCCGTTCCCCTGGTTAATTGTCCCCCCTGTGAGGAAGTTTCTCCTTAATTCCAGCTTGCTTCTCTCCTGGACTAGTTTTCCACCCAGTTCTCCTGCGGGAGTTGGGAGGTTTCCTAAGGACCCTCGGCCACGTTCCTCCTTTTTTTCTTCTCCTGCTGGTTGTGGGGAGGGAGTCGGTCCAAAAATGTCCCCCCCCCCTCACCCGAAGCCTGGGAACAAGCTGCTATTTCCCCTGCTGGTGAATCATACGGGGGAGGGGGCGCGCCCCCTCCCAGCTTGGGCCCTTGCCCAGAAAGGAGGGGGGGGGAAACCTTTTGTGCCCTCGCCTCTCTCCCGGCTCCCGTTGGCCCGGCTGCCGGGAAGAAGGGAGCGGAGGAGGAGGAAAAGGAGGAGGCGAGGAAGAGAGAAGAGCTGCACGGCCGTCCCTGGGGCGTCCCCGCCGCTTCCTCTCTCCCCCCGCCGGTGGGAGACGCCGCCGCCGCGATGCTTCAGCCCAGCCGAGCCGGCCCCGAAGGCTTGGGACGCTGATCCTCATCCAGTCCCTTGGAGAACCGACGGCGGGGCTCTGCAAGCGTGCGCCCTGGGCGCGCGCGTCGGAACGCCTTTCCCTCCAGGTCTCCTTCGACGGTGGGGCGCGTGGTTTGGGGGTGTGGATGTGGGGGGGGGACGGTTTCAGAGCCGGAGAGGCAGGGTCCCCTGGGGTGGGGTAAGGGGAAACGGGACCCCTCCCATCCCAGCCCGGGGCGCCAGGAAAGACGGGGCGCTTTTGGAGAGCTTTGCGCGCAGCGTCGCCTTCACCCCGTCGGGCTTGGGGGTCGCCCGTAAGGCTGGAGAGGGGGTCTCGGCGGATCGGGGGTGGGAATAAGCGACGGCCCCAGCCTCTGCGGGCGCGGAAGGGTGGGAAGAAGGCAAAGCAACAACCGGAGAGGGAGTGTGGCAGAGGGAGAGTGGGAAGTCCCTCCAGCGTTCCCACGCCGCGAAGCCAGAAATAGGGGTCTGGATGGCTTGGTTCTCCCCACCATCGCAGGCAAAGCAGCCCACCGAGCGGGACGCCGCGCCCTTGGACCCTCCTGGTGGCTTTGGAAGAGGCAGCCTTCCTTTCTCCTGGCTGGAGATGGCTTTGCCTCCTGGGCGGGTCTGCCTGAGCTGCGGAGCCGGGATTTTGCTCAGTTTCCTGGTGAGTTTTGGTTCTTCCCAAAGAGCCGCGCCCTCCTTGCCTTGGGGATTTTTACCGTTTCCACTTGGGGTGTGATTCTGGGGTGGTCTCAATTGGTGTGGCCTTCCGGCATCCTGAAAGGTCAGCATCAGAGGAAGACCACACGTGGAATACTACATCCAGTTTTGGTCACCATATCACAAAACAAATGTTGAGACTTTGGAAAAAATGAAGAGAAGAGCAACTAAGGTGATCCAAGGCCTGGAGACTAAAACATACGAAGAACGGCTGCAGGATTTGGGTTTGGCTAGTCTAGAGAAAAGAAGAAATAGGGGAGACAGGATAGCAGTGTTCCAGTATCTGAGGGGCTGCCACAAAGAGGAGGGGGGTCAAATTATTCTCCAAAGCACCAGAGGGAAAGACAAGAAACAAAGGATGGAAACTAATCAAGGAGAGAAGCAGCCTGGAATTAAGGAGAAACTTCCTGACGGTGAGGACAATTAACCAGTGGAACAGCTTGCCACCAGAAATCATGTGCGCTCCATCACTGGAGACTGGACAGCCACTTGTCTGAAATGATATAGGGTCTCCTGCTTGAGCAGGGGGCTGGACTAGAAGACCTCCAAGGTCCCTTCCAGCTTTATTCTGATTGATTGATTGATTGATTGATTGAAATGGTCTAGGGCTGTGGTTGCGAACCTATGGCACAGGTGGCACGCAGAGCCCTCTCTGTGGGCACGTGCGCCATCGCCCCAGTCCTAAGCCTTCAGCTGGGTTTTATAAAATCTTTTCACTTTAGGCCTCTGCCGCTGTGTTAAAAAAAAAAGGTTCAATCAATCAATTTCAACTTCTCACAAAGCTGGATTTGATTGATTGAACTTTTTAGTCCCACCCAGTCTGCCGTTACCACTGAAGCCACGCCCACCCAATGGGCCACGCCCACCCAATGGGCCATGCCCACCCAGCACCCGACAATACATAAGTGGATTTTGGGTTGCAGTTTGGGTCCTCGGTCTCTAAAAGGTTCACCAGCACTGGTTTAGGGTCTTCTGCTTGAGCAGGGGGTTGGACTAGTTGACCTCCAAGGTCCCTTCTGGCTGTAGTCTGATGGATAACATTGATAGGGTTGGGAGGGAGAAAAAGAGATCACCCCATCCTGGCCTTGAAGGTGTTTCCTGGCTGACGACGGTCCGCTAGGGCCGATGTGCAATTAGTGAGTGCAACTAACGTGTGCATATCAGCACATATTTTCCACACTTCTGGTGCCTCAGGATTTTAGTGGCATTTTTATCCACCACAGCCTTTCAGTTCTGCAGCTTTTCTGAGAGGACACGGGACGGTTTGTTTTTTTTATTAAAAAGTTTTATAAAAATTACAATATAACCCCCCCAACCCCCCCCCCAACTTCCCAGAGCTGAGTACAGGGTTACAAATATGATAATCATAATCTAACTAACATTAACCAACTATATAAATAACCAAGTCCATAATGCACTTTAACTCCCCTTTAACATAAATATAAACAAATTGAAAATAAACATAATAACAATGAAAACATAAACAAATTAATATCCTAATTATTAAACAATACCATCTCCAAATTGTTAAACAATACTAATACTAAAAATAATAATAATATCATAAAAATACTCTAAAATTTACTCATAGGCTAAATGAAACTTTTTAGTCCCATATTTATTCTGAATATAATTTATCCATCTTCTCCAAACCGAAGTGTATCTTTCTTGTGAGTGATCCTTCAAGAAAGCAGAAATCTTAGCCATTTCTGCTAAGTTTGACACTTTAAGCATCCATTCTTCTATACTAGGCAACCAATCCTTCTTCCAATATTGCCAACATGGGACAGTTTTGAAGAGATGCCACCGGTGCTTCAAACTCTTAAGCAAACACCCCCCACCCCCCGAGTTGGCAAAGATTCCTAATTCCGAACAAACTTCCTAGTGGACTGTCAAAATGTGATCTCAGCTGGTTTGAGTTTTGCATAAGTTTGCCCAAAGGATGTAACTGTGGCTATGGAGAAAGGTCTTTGAAAAACACTCGAAACACACTCTGCGCTAGCTCAGAGGCCTTTCCTTCCCCTGTTAGGCAGTGCCAATTGTGCTAATCACTTTCCCGGTTCCTTCAGCAATTTCTGAATACTTACAATGCCTTGGTAAGGCCACACTTGGAATCCTGCATCCAGTTTTGGTCACCACGATGTAAAAAAGATGTTGAGATTCTAGAAAGAGTTCAGAGAAGAGCAACAAAGATGATTAGGGGACTGGAGGCTAAAACATATAAGGAACGGCTGCTGGAATTGGGTGTGTCTAGTTTAAGGAAGAGAAGGATGAGGGGGGACAGGATAGCGGTCTTCCAGTATCTCAGGGGCTGCCCCAAAGAAGAGGGAGCCAAGCTATTCTCCAAAGCGCCTGAAGGCAGGACAAGAAGCAACAGGTGGAAACTAATCAAGGAGAGAAGCAACCTGGAACTAAGGAGAAACTTCCTGACAGTGAGAACAATTAACCAGTGGAACAACCTGCCTCCAGAAGCGGTGAATGCCTCCAACACTGAAAATTTTTAAGAAGAGACTGGACAGCCATTTGTCCAAAATGATAGAGGGTTTCCTGCCTGAGCAGGGGGTTGGACTAGATGACCTCCAAGGTCCCTTCCAACTTTACTATTACTATTATTATTATTATTATTATTATTATTATTATTATTATTATTATTATTATTATTTCTAAAATTATTATTATTATTATTATGGATCATCACACAGTCAGCCAGATGTTCAGACTGGATTTGGCATTTTGTCTACCTATCGAGTCCTTACCCAGGGCCTGGGATAGGCAGATGTGGATGTTTGATGGTATTATTATTATTTAAAAGACCAGCCTTATTATTATTTAAAAGACCAGCCTTCCTCCTGCTTAGAGAGTGGGGAAAAATCCAGGATTTGGGAGCGGGGTTTTTTTTTTGCAGCACCAGAGGAAGGGGCAAATTCCTTTTCTGGAAGGTGGTCTCAAAATTGAATGTCTTTTTCCAGGTCACCCTTCCCTGGAGGAAGACGCTGGCCTTCACCATTCCTGCAGAAAACCACGCCACAAAAGGTTTGCGTCTCCTGGTCTGCTCTGATGCGTTTCCATAAAGGCCAGCCTTAAATCATGGCTTGCAAATGGTTTAAGCTCTCCTTCCCCCCAGCACCTTTTGGGGGGGAAAATACCCCCACAAATCAAATTTTGGTTCCTCTCTCCCTCGGGTGGTCTGCCAGTTGTTATTTTGTGCTCCAACGGTTGACTACCCCGAGGAAAGAAGTCCACGGTAAATTTCAGAAAAGGTTCTAAGCTGCTCTTCTCTCTTTCCTTCTCCTCCGTGGCTATTGAAGGAAAGATGGCTGAAGGCATGGCTTCCAAAAAGTTCTTTTCGGGGTGATGAAAGTGGGGATGTTGCCCCCCCCCTAAGCTCAGAGGCAGTTGGGTGGGAAGAAGACCCAGGGAGTGAAGAAGTAGAGACATTTGGGTCTCCCTCAAGAAGCAAGAAGATAATGACCCATTTTCCTTCTTCTTCTCCATCTCCATGTCCACCACACCATCGTCATCCCTTTTCCATTGTTAGCACCATTCCTCTTTCTCTTCCGTCTTCTTCTCCCTCTTCTTCTTCATCTCCATGTCTACCACATAATCATCCCTTCTCCTCTATCATTATCATCCTTCCTCTTTCTCCTCCTCCTTCTCCCTCTTCTTGTCCATGTCCACCACACCATCATCATCCCTTCTCCATTGTTATCACCATTCCTCTTTCTCTTCCTCCTTCTTCTCCACCTCCATGTCCACTACACCATCATCATCCCTTTTCCATTGTTATCACCATTCCTCTTTCTCTTCCGTCTTCTTCTCCCTTTTCTTCTCCATGTCCCTGTCCACTACACCACCATCCTCTTCTTTCTCCATCGTTACTATCATTCCTTTTTCTCCTCCTCCTTCTCCCTCTTCTTCTCCATGTCCATCACACCACCGTCCTCCCTTCTCCTCCTTCTCCATTGTTACCATCATTCCCTTTTCTCCTCCTCCTTCTTCTCCCTCTTCTTCTCCATGCCCATGTCTATCAGCACCATCATCATCCCTTCTCCTCCTTCTCCATCATCATCATCATCCCCCCCCCGCTCCTCTTCCTCCTCTTCCACTACCACCACCTCCTTGCTACTCATACCAACGTGCAACTGGTTGCAGTGACTTCAGAGTTTAGGACACCTCTGCCTGGCTGGTTTTCTCTCCAGGTTCTGGTCCCTTCCCTCTGGTGTTTGAGACGCCAACAGTGGTCTATGAATATGTGTCTGATCTGCTGGACTGGTGGCACGCCAACATCTACTGCCAGCAGCGTTTCGCTCAGTTGCCCTCGGAGAGCTGGGAGGACGATCTCTCGTCTTTGGGCCAAAACTTCTCCCGCCGGCTCCAAAGCACCATCTGGATAAATGAGGAGGAACTCTTTCAACGGAAGCCAAAGCAGAGGCGTGAGTAGAGCAGCGCCATCCGTGAGCTGCAACTTTGGGGTGGCTGGCGGGGTGGCTGAGAGATGTCCTGAGATGGTGAGCATGATCCCTTATGCCACGACCTCGGTGCGATGGGAGCGGATTGTAAGTCAATCAAGTCATTGTTCTGGCCTTAAATCCTTCTTGGAATGCGAGCTGATCTTTTCTCAAAACTGGTTCAAGAGACCGTACAGTTTCTGAGCAGAAGCATCTTCTCCTTCTCCTGGTCCTGCTTCTCTCCTGCTCTTTCTGCCTCTCCTCCTTCACTCATTTTCCTTTTCTTCTCCTCCTCATCTATCTTCTCCTCCTTCTCTCTTTCTTCTCCTTCTCCTTTCTCTCTCTTCTCCATCTCTCCCTTTCCATTCCCTTTTATTCTTTTCCTTCTCCACCATTCCTCTTCCTCCTCCTCCTCTTCTTCCTTCTCCTCCTCCTCTTCCTACTCCTCCCTTCTTTTCTTCCTCCTTCTCCTCCTTCTCTGTTTCCTTCTCCATTTTCTTTGCCTCTTCCGTTCTCTGTCATTTCTACCCTTCTGTGGCCCTCCTTCCCTAAACAGCCTCCTAACCTTCATTTTTGCACCAATCCTTTCCAGGAGTCCACTCCCCCTCCATCTTGATATTCATGAACAAAACAGACACCAAGTTTGTGAAGGTTCTGGCTGACTTCCCGGCCATGGCCGCAGTGAGCGCTTGTGCCCACGTCCAGTGGGACCCCACGGCCACAGACGTCTCGACTGTCTTTTCCTATGCGGTCCCAGCCTTCACCAACGAATTCCAGCTACGGGGCATCGTCGACAAGGACCAATTTGTCAAGTTTGCCATCATCCTTCATGGTCATCACTCCCCTTACCTGCCGGTCTTCCGCACCGACAAACGGTGGCACCACTTCTGCGTCACGTGGCAGCAGCCCAACGGCTCTTGGGTCATCTACGCCGATGGGACGCAGAAGGCCTCAGCCGCCGGACTTGCCCCTTCCCGAGCCCTTGATGGCCACGGGACGTTCATCATTGGACAAGATCAGGATTCCCTGGGTGGTGCTTTCAAGGAGAAAGAATCCTTCAGTGGGAATCTCACTGACCTTCAAGTTTGGGGGAGGGTGCTCAGCCAAGAGCAGGTGGAGAAAGTCCGCTCCTGTGTGTCCATCAAGGAAGATCTCATCTTTGACTGGAGGAGTGACCTCTTAGAAGTGGAAATAAGTGTTCAAGAGGCCACGGTGCAGCTCACCTGCCCAGGTGAGTCCCCCTTGGGGGTTAATGCTACGGGCTGCCCAGAGTTACCTGCTTGAAACCCATTGAGTGGTGCACTGCTTTGTCCACTAGCATAGATTGGTCCTTGGAGACGAGAGAAGGACGCTCCTGGAACAGGAAAAGCTTTGGTTAATCTTCCAGCTGCTCTTGGAGAATCCAACGCTCTTTCTACCTGGTGTTCAATCCAGTTCTTGTAAAAAAAAAAGGGGGGGTGTGTGGGTCCCTGCTTTATTTCCACCGTTGATCATGAACCATGTAGGCCGGTGGTTCTCCACCTGTGGTCCGCGAATTGTCACAAGAGGTCCACGTAGGCTTGAAGAAATGTTATGATTTGAAACTTGAGTTAAGTCTTGGGGGGATCCGTGGCCACAAAAGGTATTTAAAGGGGGTCCATGATGAAGAGAAGGTTGAGAACTGCTGATGCAGGCCAAACCAGGATCATGGCTTTCAGTTGCCTGCAGTTATGTCAAAATAGCCATAGCCCAAAAAATGAGTCAAGGTGCACAGAGATATTAAATTTGCCCATGTGAGGATGTCCCATATCCTTTATTTTCTGCTCTGTGGAAATCTCTGCTTTCTCCTTTCCTCTTATCCATTTGAAGCCACTTTTCTCCAAGAGGTTTCCTCATGGACCACCAAGCCTTTCCACCTGGGAGGTCCCCGTTTCCCTCATTAGCATGCCAATAGATAGAATGCTTGTAAACCTTCTGTGACATCACAGCAGCACCGCCAATGAGGTGGAATGGGCATGGCCCACCAAGAGAAAAGGCTTGAGGTAAATTGAAACAATCAGCAGGTGTGTTATTGGTGTTTGGATCAAGATAGATGAGAGAGAGAGAGAGAGAGATGATAGATAGATAGATAGATAGATAGATAGATAGATAGATAGATAGATAGATAGATAGACAGAGATAGACAGACAGAGATGATAGTTCGACAGATAGATGATAGGTAGATAGATAGGTAAATGATAGATAAAAGACATATATAGATAGATAGATTGATTGATAAATGATAAATAGATGATAGATTGATAGATAGATGATAAATAGATAGGTAAATAATAGATAAAAGACATAGATAGATGATAGATAAATGATGGATAAAAGACAGATAGATAGATGGTAAATGATAGATCGACTGATAGATAGATAGATAGACAGACAGACAGACAGACAGACACACAGACAGACAGACAGACAGATAGATGATAGGTTGATAGATGATAGATAAATGATGGATAAAAGACAGATAGATGATAAATTAGATAGATAGGTAGGTAGGTAGGTAGGTAGGTAGGTAGGTAGATAGATAGATAGATAGATAGATAGATAGATAGATAGATAGATAGATAGATAGACAGACAGAGATAGATGCAATAGATAGATAGAAACAGAGATAGATAGATAGACACAGATAGATAGATAGATAGATAGATAGATAGATAGATAGATAGATAGACAGACAGACAGACAGGTAGATGATAGGCTGATAGATGATAGATAAATGATGGATAAAAGACAGATAGATAGGATAAATGATAGATAGATAGATAGATAGATAGATAGATAGATAGATAGATAGATAGATAGATAGATAGATAGACAGATGATAGGTAAATAGATGATAGATAAATGATAGATAAAAGATAGACAGACAGATGATAAATGAGAGAGAGAGAGAGAGAGAGAGAGAGAGAGAGAGAGAGAGAGAGAGAGAGATATGATACTGTAGATAGACAGGTAGATAGGTAGATCTCAGGTGTTCCTTGTGTCTCCATAGCCCCCGTGGAAGAATGTCGTGTTTTCAAGGTCACCCATGGAAGCCAACACAGTCCCTGCTCAGTGAAGTTACCTTTTGTCTGTCGCTACGGAAAAGGTAGGTCAGTTTGGACCCCCTCTGCCTTCTCAGGAGCACCGCCCTTGGGGTTGGGTTATTTGATTAAGCTTAAGAAGACCTGGGTTCAAATGGAGCCTATCTCTCCTGGTTTTAAGCCATGACATTGTAAAGAGGTGACCCATTTGATTTTATGGCCTTTTTCTGTGGTGGTCGATAAGCGGTCACGTGGTTGTTAAGCAAAACCAATGCCGTTAAGCTGAGGACTAGGTGTATTGAGACCCAAGATGAGTCTGGACCTTCCTAGAAATGTATCCTAACGTATATAAAATGAGAAATGAGAAGGAAAAGAGAGAAATCAAAGCAAGAATGAAAATAGCTGGGCACTAAGAAAAGGTCCATGTCCATCTGTGGGCTTTTCACCCCGTCCAGATCTTTACTTTCAGCTGAAGAAAACCCAGTCAGAACCTGTCCCACCGTTTATTGCTCGTGTGAATGCCCAGGCGAATATGACCGTGGTAAGTCTAAGAGATCAACCCCGATGCTACCTCTCCTAGAGTCCCCAGGGATTAATCCTGAGGTCCATCTGAAGCATGTCCTCTCCAGCCAGATGGCCCATTTCTCCAGTCCTGAAGCCAAGAAGCATCTATGTTCCTCAAGTCATCCTCCTTGTAGAATCCGTAGATTCCTTGGCTGGTAGCCTCCCAACCTATCTTCTGAAGAAGGTGTAGAGACAATGCCCTCAATGATCTGGTATCAAGAATACAGACTAAGTCCAGAAGATGCCTTGCTAGTCTTCTGTTGGAGCAAGAGAGAGGACACAGTAACTTTCTCTTGGATGCTTTGCATGTTCTCCTCTCTGGCCAACATTAGGTTCAAGAAGACCATTAAGGATGATCTGCCCATTCCTTATCTAGCTTCTCTAACTCCAGTCTCGTTTCCCTTCTGCAGATTCCCGAGAACGTCTTCCAGGCGGATGTCCGAGCGGTGACTATTTCGGCCGCAGCTAATAGATTGGGGGTTGTGGAGAAGATCCTGTCCGAAGCCCAACCTCCTCCTCTGGATGCCTCTTCTCTCCTGGGGGTCTTCCAGCTTTTGAAAGAGGTGTCCGAGGTAGAGGTGGTAGAACCAGGTCAACTGGCAACCCTGGAAGAGCTGGGCCAACATTATGTGGAGGTTACAGGGAGACTCCTGGAGCAGGACAATACAGATCATTGGTCTGAGACCAAGCCGGTAAAAATAACACTATTGGGGAGGGGTCTTTGAGGGGCATCTAGTCTACTAAAGAGAGGAGGTCCATAGCTACCTGGATCTGACCGACGTCTGTCCAACCACTGATCAGGGTTATCCTTTGCTTGGAGGTTTGATCTACCTGGCAACTGAGATACAAGAGGTCAGGTGGTCCTCTTCCAACTGTTCCTGTCTTCTCCAGATCATTGGGGGACCCATGAAGGTGGTGGAAAACGTGGACAAAATGGCTTCCAGCCTCCATCAGCTCCTGAGCCCCAACAGAGGGAAGGTTACCTTTCACAGTAAGAACATCGGTAAGTTGAGACCAACTCTCGGCCATCCTGGCATGGGCCATGTCCTCAATTCTGTGGAAATGTTTGGGGTGAAGAAGGTTTTTCTGGGGGTTATTAGAGGACCTTTGTCCCTCGCAGGGAATTCTGGGAGTTGAAGTCCACAAAGATGATGAGGGGATTGCAGGCTAAAACATAGGAAGGACGGTTGAAGGAACTGGGCATGGCTAGTCCAGTGAAGAGAAGGACCAGGGGAGACAGAATAGCAGTCTTCCAATATTTGAGGGGCTCTTACAGAGAGGAGGGAGGGTCCACCTATTCTCCAAATCACCTGAAGGCCAGACAAGGAACAACGGATGGAAACTGATCAAGGAGAGATTCAATCTGGAAATAAGGAGAGATTTCCTGACAAGGAGAACAATCAATCAGTGGAACAACTTGCCTTCAGAAGTTGGGAGCTTCATCACTGGAGGCTTCCAAGGAGAGACTGGACAGCTATCTGTCAGAAATGGTGTAGGGTCTCCTGCTTGAGCAGGGGGTTGGACTAGATGACCTATAAGGTCCCTTCCAACTCCTATTCTATTCTATTCTATTCTATTCTATTCTATTCTATTCTATTCTATTCTATTCTATATTTCATTTCATTCCATATTCCATTCCATTCCATTCCTCTATTCTATTCTATTCTATTCTAATCTATTCTATTCTATGCTATGCTATGCTATGCTATGCCATGCCATGCTATATTCTATTCTATTCTATTCTATTCTATTCTCTGCTCTGCTCTGCTATATTCTATTCTATTCTATTCTATTCTATATTTCATTCCATTCCATATTCCATTCCATTCCTCTATTCTATTCTATGCTATTCTATTCTCTTCTCTTCTCTTCTCTTCTCTTCTCTTCTCTGCTCTGCTCTGCTATATTCTATTTTATTCTATTCTATTCTATTCTATTCTATTCTATATTTCATTCCATTCCATATTCCATTCCATTCCTCTATTCTATTCTATTCTCTTCTCTTCTCTGCTCTGCTCTGCGATATTCTATTCTATTCTATTCTATATTTCATTCCATTCCATATTCCATTCCATTCCTCTATTCTATTCTATTCTATTCTATTCTATTCTATTCTATTCTATTCTATTCTATTCTATTCTATTCTATTCTATTCTATTCTCTGCTATATTCTATTCTATTCTATATTTCATTCCATTCCATATTCCATTCCATTCCTCTATTCTATTCTATTCTCTGCTCTGCTCTGCTCTGCTCTGCTCTGCTATATTCTATTCTATTCTATTCTATTCTATTCTATTCTATTCTATTCTATTCTATTCTATTCTATTCTATTCTATTCTATTCTATATTTCATTCCATTCCATATTCCATTCCATTCCATTCCTCTATTCTATTCTATTCTATTCTATTCTATTCTATTCTATTCTATTCTATTCTATTCTCTGCTCTGCTCTGCTCTGCTCTGCTCTGCTCTATTCTATTCTATTCTATTCTATTCTATTCTATTCTATTCTATTCTATTCTATTTTATTCATTATCTTAAAGGGACAGAGGCTGGGAAATGCTGATGTATAATACATTGCTGGAATTGATGAGTGGAGGCGGCATAGAAAATGGATCAGCTTCCTAAACTGAGAGTTGGCCTCCCTGCCACAGGTCCCCATTAAAATCTGGGACAGCCTCTTCTCACCTGGTGTCTCCTCCATCACCCCCATCTTCTGAAAGGATGGTCCCTGGTCCCTGACCTCTGGAAGATGCTTTTGATGCTCTTTTGGTCAGTGGCCACCAGAGGGCGCTTCTTCCCTCGCTGCTCAGGAACCCTGCCGTTTGCTGGCTTCAAAAATAATTTTCGTGGCTCTTTTAATACAATATTTCAAAATTAATTTAACTTAGGTAGGCAAGATGTGCAAGGTGCCCCTTGTTTTTCTCCACAAGGAGAGGAACCTTTGCAAGGCACCTGAGCAGCCTTGTGTAGAAATATTGTGGGGTAATTCCACGCACGCCCCCAAGTGATGCTGGTCGGGTCTCTCGGCTCGCAGGGATTGAGGTGCGACGGGCAGAGCTGGGCCCAGAGAGAGCTGGCAGCGGGGGCTCCCTGATGCCAACCCACCGTTGGGACCAGCTGGATGCCATCGAGATCCCAGCAGAAGAAATGGAGCGCCTGAGAGCGAGGGGTAAGGTCATGGGTGATGGCAGGTGGGTTCTCAACCAGTTCCACCCTTCTGTTTGAATCTTTGTGGCAGAAAACCTATCAGGTTTGGGCTGTTTTAAAGAGGTCCAAAGGAGAAAGTTAGAATGGAAGAACGCCAGAGAAATCAACAGGTACGAATAAAGGAGAAGATTTGTAGTTCAGTTGACATGAAGGGTCCTTGGCGCTCTCTGAGCTTGGTTGTTTCATTACCCAACTAGGTTACATCATCAGTGTTAGAAGGGAGTGGACTTTATGGAGGAGGAGGAGGACAATTGTGGGGTCCTTGGTGCTCTCTGAGCTTGATTGTTCTCTTGCAGACGTTTCATTACCCAACTAGGTTACTTCATCAGTGTTAGAAGGAAGTGGACTTTATGGAGGAGGAGGAGGAGGAGGAGGAGGAGGAGGAGGAGGAGGAGGAGGAGGACAACGACGACAATTGTGGGGTCCTTGGTGCTCTCTGAGCTTGATTGTTCTCTTGCAGACGTTTCATTACCCAACTAGGTTACTTCATCAGTGTTAGAAGGGAGTGGACTTTATGGAGGAGGAGGGGGAGGAGGAGGAGGAGGAGGAGGAGGAGGAGGAGGAGGAGGAGGAGGAGGAGGACAACGACGACAATTGTGGGGTCCTTGGTGCTCTCTGAGCTTGATTGTTCTCTTGCAGACGTTTCATTACCCAACTAGGTTACTTCATCAGTGTTAGAAGGGAGTGGACTTTATGGAGGAGGAGGGGGAGGAGGAGGAGGAGGAGGAGGAGGAGGAGGAGGAGGAGAATGATGACAATTGTGTGGTCCTTGGTGCTCTCTGAGCTTGATTGTTCTCTTGCAGATGTTTCATTACCCAACTAGGTTACTTCATCAGTGTTAGAAGGAAGTGGACTTTATGGAGGAGGAGGAGGAGGAGGAGGAGGACTGTGATCCTTAGTGCTCTCTGAGTTTGGTTGTTTTCTTGCAGACATTTCATTACCCAACTAGGTTACTTCATCAGTGCTAGAAAGGCGTTTACATACAGTTCCATCTAGCACTGATGATGTTATCAAGTTTGGGTCATGAAACATCTGCAAGAAAGCCACCCAACTCAGAGAGCACCAAGGACCCTCAGAATTAACAGGGGAGGCAAGCTGGAAAGGACCAGGTAGGCTTCATTGGTCTCCTGCTTGGACCGCCCATCTTCTCACCTTGAGCTTCTGCGCCACCAGCTCTTAATGCCCTCGTCTACCCTTCTCCAGGCCTGCGTCAAATCACCCTCACCAATACGTGGTACAGCTATGGGGCCCTCCAGCGCCTTCTCGCCAGCAGCAGTGCTGTGATCAAAGACGCCGCTGTGTCAGACGGAGGACAGAGGTGAGTCTTGATTCGGAAAGGAGCCAGATCGCTCCATTCAGACAATCACTTTTCGCTGACCTACAGCGTGCATTGATATGGCATCCAGTTTGGCAGTTTTTCAATCAATCAATCCGAATAGAGCAGGAAGTGACCTTGGAGGTCTTCTAGTCCAGCCACCTACTCAAGCAGGAGACCCTACATTATTTCAGACAAGAGGCTGTCCAAATCTCTTCTTTAAAACCTCCAGTGATGGAGCACCCACACAACTTCTAGTGGCAAGCTGTTCCACTGCTTAATTAAGAAGTTTCTCCTTAATTCCAGGTTGCTTCTCTCCTTGGTCAGTTTCTATCCATTGTTTCTTGTCCTGCCTTCGGGTGCTTTGGAGGATAGCTTGACTCCCTCTTCTTTTGTGGCAGCCCCTCAAATACTGGAACACTGCTTTTTTTTATTAATATTATTATAAATGTTTACAATTTTACAATAAAAAACCCCTTCCCCAATCCCTCCCAACCCTCCCCAAAACCTCCCCCCTTCTTCCCAGAGCTGAATACAGAGTTAACTAGAACTTAAAAGGAAAAACTTTTAAACTCAAATAAACGTCAAACAAATATAATTACATTCAATAAACGAAGTATTAAGTACTTTAACTCCATTATGTATGAAAAACAGAAAGAGAAAAAGAAGAAAGAAATTAACATTAAAATAATTTCTTTGTCATTGCAATCCTACCAATTTACCATTATAATTTATTTTATCTATAATTCACAACTTCTATTTCTTTCACAATTAATAAACCAATCATCTCCCTAATTTAATAACATTACAAAATATCATATTTCATATAAAGTAAATTAATTGGAATCTAGTCCGCCATTAAAATATTATAAACTTTAAGTATAAATTTAAATATAAATTATTCAGAAAGCTAAACAATATTTTCTAATATCATACTTATATTATATAAAGTTTATCCATCTTTCTTTGTCATCACAATCAACACACATATAAGCGTTACTTATACCATTAAAATTCCCTTATACATATTTAAAACAAAATATTCCTTTAAATGCTCCTTAAGTTTCTAAGCATACACTTCTTATCTAAAGTTTTCATTCAGTCTCCATAATCTTCTCTCCTCTTTTCCAATAACCAGTTCTGGAAGACTGCTTATCATGTCCCCCCAAGTCCTTCTTTTCTGGCCATACCCCAAATTCTGCAGCCGTTCTTCACAAAGAAGAGGGAGTCAAGCTATTCTCCAAAGCGCCTGAAGGCAGGACAAGAAGCAACGGATGCTTAAAGGCAGGAGTGATTTATGTAGATGGAATAGTAGGGATGGTTCTGTGGATTGATTGAATTTTAAGAAGAAATAGATTAAACTAACTGTGTTATATTATGGGAGGGAAATAGAGGGGGGAATTTTATACGTTTGTGTTCCCTTTATTTTTTTGAGCAGTATATATATGACTTGTTTTGCTATGATTGATTACCCTTTCACCATGAAGTTTTCCTGAGCACTTTGATGTTAAAATTAAAAAACAACAACAATAAAATGTGTATTTTAAAAAAGAAGAAGCAATGGATGGAAACTCACCAAGGAGAAAAGCAACCTAGAACAAAGGAGAAACTTCCTGACAGTGAGAACAATTCACCAGTGGAACCGCCTGCCTCCAGAACGGTGAAGGCTCCAACACTGGATGTTTTTAAGAAGAGACTGGACGGCCATTTGTCCTGAGCAGGGGGTTGGACTTGATGACCTCCAAGGTCCCTTCCAACTCTGTTATTGTGTTATTCTGTTACTAATCAAGGAGAGAAGCAACCTAGAACTAAGGAGAAACTTCCTGACAGTGAGAACAATTAACCAGTGGAACAACCTGCCTCTAGAAGCAGTGAATGCTCCAACACTGGACGTTTTTAAGAAAAGACTGGACAGCCCTTTGTCCGAAATGGTGTAGGGTTTCCTGCCTGAGCAGGGGACTGGACTAGAAGACCTCCAAGGTCCCTTCCAACTTTATTATTATATTATATATTATGTTTTAGTCTCCAGGCCTTTACTCGTCTTCGTTCCTCTTCTTTGCACTTTTCCCAAAGTCTCCACATCAGTCAAAGCATCAGTCAGAGTCAGAACAATGAAAGCATCCCAAGTCCACGCTGGTGGAGGTGGGCTGAATCCCTCTCCCACTTTCCTGCTTGTGGGATGCTCCGCAAGGCTGTCTCTCCCCAGCCACGCTGCCCTTGGGGTGGGCTTGTCTTTCTTGTTTCTGGGCACACGAGGGTGCTGTTGCTTTTTTTTTATTTTCCCTTGCCCTATTCCCCCCCCCCTGCCTCCCCCAAAAGCAATTGCTGGGAAAAAGAGAGGGGGGGGGGGGAGAGAGAGGACCAATTTTTGTGAATGAGTCCAACTTCCATTGGAAGATCTGATTCCACCCATGGGTGCATCGAAACGGAGCTCCCCAATCTGATTTATCTGTTGAGTTGGCTTTCCCAATGGATTTCCCCCCCCCCAGAATCAAGGAAATCTTTATCAGAATAATAGAGTGGGAAGGGGTCTTAGGAGGTCTTCTAGTCCACCCCCCTGCTCAAGCAGGAGACCCTAGACCATTTCTGACAGATGGCAGTCCAGTCTCTTCTTAAAAACCTCCAGTGATGAAGCTCCCACAACTTCTGGTGGGAAGCTGTTCCATTGGAACCGTAATAGTAATAGTAGTAAAGTTGGAAGGGACCTTGGAGGTCATCTAGTCCAACCCCCTGCTCAGGCAGGAAACCCTATAGCATTTCAGACAAATGGCTGTCCAATCTCTTCTTAAAAACTTCCAGTGTTGGAGCATTTACCGCTTCTGGAGGCAGGCTGTTCCACTGGCTAATTGTTCTCACTGTCAGGAAGTTTCTCCTTAGTTCTAGGTTAGTTCTAGGTTGCTTCAAGATTCAAGTCGGTTTGAATTGTCTCTGATTGGAACGGCTGGAGTTAAATAGGCCAGAAAAAAAAAAGTAGATAAATTGAAGGACTTATTCCTTAGTCAAGGATGGATGGGAAGATTCCTTGAGGACTCTTTCTTTCTACTTCAATCACCCCAGCCCACCAACAGATATAAAATAGACCGATGCTTGTTAGCGAAATAGACAAACTCCAACAATACGCCACTATGTCATATTGTTATTCTGTTATTCCTTCTTGGATTTACAAGATGAAGAGTTGGTCTACAAACACGACGGGGTCCTCCAGATTTCTGGCGAACTGGGTTGTGACTCCTGGGGGGGTGGGATAGGGTGAGACACGTTGGTTCTCTTCTCCAATTTTCCCTGGATGTTCCTGATCTCCATTCCTCTGTCTGTGGGACACAGAGGCTGGCTTGGGCCGTGCCATTAAGTCTGCCATAGAATAGAATAACAGAGTCAGAAGAGGACCTTGGAGGTCTTCTAGTCCAGTGGTTCTTAACCTGGGCGATATTGCCCCCCAGGGGGCGATTTCATTTTTCAGGGGGGCGAAGGAACGAAAAGAGGGCGATTTGGGGGTGATGGAGCGAGAGGTTTTGGGGACACTTTTGAGACTTTTTTGTACAGTGAATCCCTGTATATCTGATGGAGGGGGGAGAGCTTCTTTCGAAACATCACATGCTGAGTGGCTCTGTAAAACATTTTGTATTGTATTTTTTTAGCGTGTACTCCAGTTCGATATTATATTTTCCTTGTGTCTTTTTAATCCTTTTTACAGTGTGCGTGACTATATATAGTTTCCTCGAATCTTAATTTAGTTTCAGAGTTTTCGTCTTGAAATTCTTAGTTCCTGCATTGTGGTTTGTTCTTATGCCCTTTTTATATTTCTTTTTGCGTCTTAAATTTCACTTGTAATTCAATCATTAAATGTTACTGTTTTTCTTTTCGGGCATTTCATTTTCTTGCAATTGAATTTTGTTTTCAGTGGTCATTACATTTAAGTGTCTTGAATAAATAAGATAATAATGAAATACATTTATCACGAAGTTTGGGAATAAAGTGATGGGTGGCACCAAAATTTTTCACAGTTGAGATATGGGGAAAAGACTGGAAATAAATGATTTGCATCGATATGTCCTGAGGACAATTTTAAAGAAAACAAAAAAAAGTGTTTGGATAAATTGAAGAATTATTTCCTATGCTGTGATTGAGAGGTTATGTTGGGGGAGGGGGCGATGACAACTTCCTCATTGGCTCAAGGGGGCGATTCGTTCAAAAAGGTTAAGAACCACTGTTCTAGTCCAACCCCCTGCTCAAGCAGGAAACTCTATAGGATCCCAGACAAGTGGCTGTCCAATCTCTTCTTAAAAACTTCCAGTATTGGAACATTCACAACTTCTGGAGGCAGGTGGTTCCACTGGTTAATTGTTCTCCCTGTCAGGACATTTCTAGGTTGCTTCTCTCCTTGATCAGTTTCCATCCGCTGCTTCTTGTCCTGCCTTCAGGCGCTTGGGAGAATAGCTTGACTCCCTCTTCTTTGGGGCAGCCCCTGAGATATTGGAAGACTGCTATCATGTCCTTCTCTTCATTAAACTAGACATACCCAATTCCAGCAACCGTTCCTCATATGTTTCAGCCTCCAGTCCCCTGATCCTCTTTGTTGCTCTTCTCTGCACTCTTTCTAGAACCTCAACATTTGTTTTATATCGTGGTGACCAAAACTGGACGCCGTATTCCAAATGTGGCCTCACCAAGGCCTTGTAAAGTGGTATTAACGCTTCACCTGATCTTGATTCTCTCCCTCTGTTGATGCAGCCATGCTCCCCTCTTCCTCCTTAGGCATCTGAGCACGCAGGTGGCCTCTTCCATTATCTCCTCCAGCTTGGTCAGCAACTACAAGGAAATCAGCACGTCTGTGCGCTACCGTCTGCGGCATCGGGTTCAGGTGAGGCTACCGGGAAGGAACCCAGGGAAGGCAGGAGAGAGGAAGGGGGAAGGGGTTGCTGAAGGACCTCAGAATGGACCGTTTTCATCCATCAAGGTCTGTGTTTCCTTGAGGGAAAGAGTTGGGGCAAATGTCCACTTGCAGATGCCCTCTCTCCTTTCACCCCTTCCATTGTTCCTCCTCCACACACATAATACTTCCCCCCCCCCAAAAAAAAACTCAAGACAGTTCCCCTCTCCCCATCTTTTGCTGCCCAGTCATTCTTCTCTGGATCAAAATGGTTCACCAGAGGTCTACGTTGACCATTTCCGTCCTTGAAACCCAACTTTCCTTGGGGCTTTTGAGCTTCTGAAGATCAGCACATCCCGGGCAAGGCGCCTTGCATTTTTTTAAAAAATGAAACATAAAGGTCCTGTTTTACAGGTCACCCCAACTCCCCCCCCCAAAAAAAAGGAACGGAGTGGGTTTGTGGTTAGAGGAGACTGGGCGCCTTGATAAATTAAACCAGACCTTGCCTCCACATCAAACAAGGTTCAGGGAGATTTAGGGAAGTCTGCGGCTGGTCCCATCCGGTCAACTTATCAAGATGAACCCAAGAGAACTTGCAAGAAGTCCACAACTGAGTATTTTTGGGAAGGGTGGGTCAGAAAAATTTTCCCAGCCAGCATCTCCAATATTTCCTTTCCAGAGAGGCGTTTTATCTCCTCTCTGAACTTCTTTCTCTGTAGGCTTTACCGGACCAGCTTGTGGAACCAGTTTGTGCTTTTTGGAACTTCAGCGGAAGGTAGGCGGTTCGGAGAAGTCTCCCAGTTGCATTTTTGGGAAAGGCACGGAAAGAAAGAACTCAGTAAAATTGAGTAGACCTTGTGGGATCCTTGCTGGTTTCACAGAGAGCTCTTGAAGGTTGGAGCTGTCTCATGAGGAGAGATGGACAGAAGATTCCTGCTCCAACCTTCCTCTTAAAGCAGACTGAACTCAAAGCTTATCTGCATCCACCTCCGGATGCTTCACTTGGGGACCAAGCTCACCCTTATGTAGAAGACCTTCTTGAGTATGCCCAACATATGAACCAACGACAACAGCCACCAACAAAATCCACCCAACCATCTCTGAACGTGGTCTGCTAACCACACTGCCCTATAAGTGCACCACACACACCTTCACTTATCAGTCGGTGAACCCAGTGGTTGTGTTGTGTTTGAAGTAGGTGAACCAGGGAAGGTGGTTTGGTGGTTTTTTTTTTTTTTTAGGACAACTTTTACGAAAGGAGAATGAGAGTTGAGTCAAGATCTCTGGAGGTGGTTCTCAGCTCCTTCCTACGGGCAACTTTCCCTGGGTGGGGTGGGGGCATTTGGGGTCCAGAACGTGAACATCTGGGCCCAGAACTTTTTTCTGTGCTTCAGTCCTGAAGGTGTTGGCGGCTGGTCCACCAGAGGTTGCTCAGTGTCTTCTTCTCAGAAAGATCTAACCACCTGTGCCTGTAACCACACCACCAACTTTGCAGTCTTGCTACAGGTCTATGAAGTCCAGGTTAGTAGAGGGTCAGGAGAGTCCCAGTGGAGGAAGACATTTCTTGGGGGGCTTTGGTGGAACCCTGGGGAGAAGCCATGGAACGTGGACCTTCATTTGGCTTGGACAACATTGTCCACATCAAGATCCCCACCTTGCGTTTCATCCCTTCCCTTCCTTGATCAGATTGCCCAAGAGCTGAACTGGCCCATTGCATGGAAGCTGTTGAGTTGGGCCCTCAGGGGACACCTCACCCCTCCCTCACCTTCATCACGTTGTCTCTTCTTTCACACAGAGGAGTTTAGAGGAGGAGTCCACCCTGAAGACCCTGACATTTGTTGGCTGTGGTGTGTCCTTCTGTGCCTTGATAGTCACCTTTGTGCTCTTCTTAGCCGTTGGGTGAGTCTGAAGTAACACAAATGGACGCACGCTTGTCAAATCAGCTCCATTCTTGGATCCCCACGGCGTCTTGAAACGAACCAGCCAAGTGATTTCCATTCACATAGCCTTCTAGAACAGTGGTTCTCATCAACCTGTGGGTCGGGACCCCGTTTGGGGTCGAACGACCATTTCACGGGGGTCGCCAAACAACGCAGTCTGCAATTTCCCCCCCCTTTTCCTTAGCTGTGCTACTCCCTTTTATTCTATTGGCTTTTGAAAGCCAATAGAATAGACTCTCTTGAGTAGAGTCTAATTCTATTGGCTTTCAAAAGCCAATAGGAATTGTCCAGGCTGTCTCTGCCCTGCTGAGCCCGCCAAAAGTCCCATTCTGCAAACGGTGCTGCACCAGTTGAGTAGTCCTCGATTTACAACCGGTTGAGTAGTCCTCGACTTACGACCAGTTGGGGGTTGCAGCATTAAAAAGGTTGAGAAGCACTGTTCTAAAACATCTAACCGAGATGAAGCCCAAAAAGACTTGATGGGTCATGTGAATGCATCCCTGACGGTCTTCCTTGGCCAGTTGTGTGGGGCCAGCTTCAGAGTGGGAAGGGATCTGTCTAACTTCTCAAGGGTCCATTGAGTATCTTTTTTTAAAAAAAAAATATTTTTTATTTTCTCTCTTTACAAAAAACAAAATGCGAAGTACATTTTTCTTTTTTCTTAACAATACAATGTCCTATATCTCTTACATTTATTTACACTTATTTACATTACTTCTCATACTTTTTTATTCCTCAATTCTAACCAATTGTAATACCTGTCCCATATCTCATAAAATTCTGTAACTTCCTTGTCTTTTATTTCTAAAGTAAGTTTGTACATCTCAGCACATTCTAATATCTTGTAAATAATCATTACATTTGTTGGTATATTTTCCCTTTTCCAGCATTGCGCATACGCAATGCGGGCAGCAGTTATTATATGTATAATGATGTATTGGAGTTGTTTTTCCATCTTTGGATTGATTATGCCTAATAAGAATATTTCGGCTTTAAGCTCAATTTGTTCTTTTGTTATTTCCATCTCCTTATTTGCTCACAATAAGTCTTTGCTTTGGGGCATTGCCACCACATATGATAAAATGTTCCCTCTTTATTTTTACATTTCCAACAGTCCGGATTCGTATTTTTATATATTTTAGTCAATCTCGCCGGTGCTAAATGCCATCTATAGAACATTTTACGTTGGTTTTCTTTGTATGCGGTTGACAACGTTAGTTTGTAATTTTTGTCCCATTTCGTATCTTTAGTAGAAACTAGTGGAATACACTCAGTAGAACTTGTGCCAAAACCTTTACTCTTCCTTTTAACAGGGTCCCCAAAAGCGAGCGAACCACGGTGCATAAAAACCTGATCTTCGCCCTGGCTGCTGCAGAGGCCTTGCTCATGTTCAGTGAATTGGCCAAGATCAACCAGGTCAGGAGAAGAGCTGGGAAACAGGAGGGGAATCACTTAGGAGGTGTCCTATCTTTGCTAGCTGAATTGGGGCCCAAAGCGAACCCCCAAACCCTCTCCTTCTTCCACCAGACATTTGACCCTAGGACTCCCCATCTCTCCCCAGGGCGTCTGCTTTGCTGTCACGGCCTTTCTCCACCTTTTCTTCATGGCGGCCTTCGCTTGGATGCTGGTGGAAGGTCTTCTGCTCTGGAGCAAAGTGGTGGCCGTCAACATGAGCGAAGATCGGAGGATGCGTTTCTACTATGTGACCGGTTGGGGTCTGTATCCCAGGGGTCAAGAAGGGGAAGGGGCAACAGGAAGATCGGGCTAGACTGCTTCTTCCTTTGACCCAGTTGAACCAACTTGTCCAAACCTAAGCTGGAGTAGATCAGAGGTCTACTATGAGCCCTAGGCTGTTCTCCCTACTCATCGTACCATGATGGGAAAGGATGGAGTTGATGTCCAGTAGGGAAGGACCACACTGGGGAAGGAGCAGTCAAGTCCATTGGATGGAAAATGGTCAACTCTTCACGGCGATTGCATGTCTCTGTAGCTAGGTTGCTCTGAAAAGAACCACAGATAAGCCAAATATTTATGGAGATTCTCAGTCATCCAGGTCAGGATTGTCCCAAAGATGCTTTTTCAGGAGGCAACTGGACTTTCTTGATTTTTCCCCTGAAGACGTTTCGCTTCTCATCTAAGAAGCTTCTTCAGCTCTGACTGGATGGTGGGGAAGGGAAGGATTTATACTCCTTGCAGACTGCTGGTCATCTGCCTTCTTTGAGAGAGTTGTTGAGGCCACTTGGAGGTTTAACTGTGTCCTAATGTGTCGCAGATAGATGGCCTCCAAGTGGCCTCAACGACCCTCTCAAAGGACGCAAATGACCAGCCGTCTGCAAGGAGTATAAATTCTTCGACTCCCCACCATCCAGCCAGAGCTGAAGAAGCTCCTTGCATGAGAAGCGAAACGCCTTCAAAGAAAAAACAAAGAAGTCCAGTTGCCTCTTGAAAAAGAACCTTTGGGGACACACATAAGCCAACAATGTTGTAGATATCTCTATTGTGCAAAACGAAACCTGTTCTATTAGTATATGGCTGAAGAGGGTATGCAGATACATCAAAGCATTATGAGTAAAACAAGATCAATTGAACCCCATGGCCACTGTCTCTACCTGTGTGGTTTGAAACTCAGAGAAGACCACTTGAGGGAGCTTCACAGGATAGCCCAAGAAGGAAAAAGAATGTGCTGGTTGGAGACAATGAAACGCTCAAGCAGAGGTCAACTGTGGTTCTTCCTCAATGGTCAAGTGGATCATTGGAGATGGGATGAAGACACAGACCGGCCAATCTCTCCCCTTCTTTCCAGGGCTTCCTGTGCTGATTGTGGGTGTCACCTTGGCCACTTCGTTCAACAAATACGTGGCGGACAATCACTGTTGGCTGAATGTGCAGACAGAGGTCATCTGGGCATTCGTGGGACCTGTCCTCTTTGTCCTAACGGTAAGGGCCAACATCTTCGGTTGACTTCCTGGCCTTCCTTGTCCACCCTCTTGCGGTTTTGAAGGCCCAGAAATTGGGGGCCTTTAATGTCCACTGTCCAAGACCTTGGCTTGCAACTTCAACGTTCCTGTGGTTTTTGCCTCCCTCAACAAGGTCATCAACCTCACCATCTCGCCCCTCCATCTATCGTCCATTGCAGGTTGCCTCTCCTTAGCTCCTCAAGTATCTCCAACATCTAGAGGGGCTTCCACAAAGATTTTTTTTCTCAGCCCCATCTGGCATCAGTGGGGTTGAACTTAGAATCTTCTGCAGTAGAAGCTGTTATGCTTGCTACTGCCCACCCCACCAACCTTTAAAGTTCGGTCCTCACAATTTTGAGGGAAGGACTGAATTAAGTAGAACTTTAAATAGATGTTGTGTGCCAGGTCAGTGCATTATTTAGGATCAAGTTCACCACACCTTCAGATTAGACTTTATTTCTGGCTCTGCCTGCCAGGTCCAAGCCTATTTCTGTAGGCAAATAACAGAATAACAGAGTTGGCAGGGACCTTGGAGATCATCTAGTCCAACCCCCTGTTCAGGCAGGAGACCGTATACCATTTCAGACAAAGGACTGTCCAATATCTTCTTAAAAATTATCTGGAGCTCCCACAACTTCTGGAGACAAGCTCCTTCCTTCCTTCCTTCCTTCCTTCCTTCCTTCCTTCCTTCCTTCCTTCCTTCCTTCCTTCCTTCCTTCCTTCCTTCCTTCTGTCATATATTTTATCTATCTCAAAATCAAAGAATCACAGGGCTGAAAGGGACCTTGGAGGTTTTCTAGTCCAACCCCCTGCTCAGGTGGGAAGCCTATACCATTTCAGACAAACGGTTGTCCAATTTCTTCTCCAAAACCTCCAGTGATGGAGGGAGGGAGGGAGGGAGGGAAGGAAGGAAGGAAGGAAGGAAGGAAGGAAGGAAGGAAGGAAGGAAGGAAGGAAGGAAGGATAGCAAAATAATAGAATCACAGAATCACAGAGTTGGAAGAGATTTTGGAAGTCTTCCAGACCAACACCCCTCAAGCAGGAGATCCTATACCATTCTGGACAAATGGTTGTCCAATCTCTACTTCAGTACCCCCAGTGTTGGAGCACCCACAACTTCTGAAGGCAAGCTGTTCCACTAATTAATTGTCCTAACTGTCAGGAAATTTCTCCTTAGTTCTAGGTTGCTTCTCTCTTTGGTTAATTTCCATCCGTTGTTTCTTGTCCTGCCTTCAGGTACTTTGGAGAATAGCTTCTCTTCTTTGGGACAGCCCCTGAGATATTGGAAGACTGCTGTCATGTCCCCCCTTGTCCTTCTCTTCATTAAACTAGACATACCCAATTCCAGCAACCGTTCCTTATCTGTATTAGCCTCCAGTCCGCTGATCATCTTTGTTGCTCTTCTCTGGACTCTTTCTAGAACCTCAACATCTTTTTTACATGGTGGTGACCAACACTGGGTGCAGTATTCCAAGTGTGCCTTGCCAAGGCCTTGTAAAGTGGTATTAACTCTTCACCTAATCTTGATTCTCTCCCTCTGTTAATGCAGCCTAGCCCTGTGTTGGCTTTTTTGGCAGCTGCAGCCCACGGCTGGCTCCTATTTAAGGGATTGTCCACTAGGACTCCGAGATCCCTCTCACAGTTGCTACCATAGAGCCAGGTACCGCCTATAGTACACCTGTGCACTTGGCTTTTCTTGCCTAAATGTAGAGCCTTACTTTTTTTTCACTATTGAATTTCATTTTAGGTGATCATTCTCGGTTTAACAGAAGGAAAATTTCACAGTCCTTGGAAGTCTTATTGATGTTATTGTCATTCTAGGTGAACACCTTTGTGCTGTTCCGGGTGGTGATGGTGACAGTCTCCAGTGCACGGCGGCGGTCACGGATGCTGACCCCCAACAGCAGCCTGGAGAAGCAGATTGGGGTTCAAATCTGGTAAGTCGGGCCCGGGTGTGCACGTGTTCCTCCTCATGGGAGCAAAGCTAGACAGCTGGGTGCCGTTTGTCAGCTCTCCAGATCGTGTTGATATGATTCTGCTTCTCCGTGGCCTTTGGCATGGATGGACAGACATTCTTTTCCCCACCCCCCTTATAATCAACAAAAATTAGAACTGGGCGTTTTTGATTCAATGGATAAGCCAGAGGGTGGTTTGATCACGTCTCCAAAACTGTTCAAAACTTGGGCGTCCTTCAGTGACTTTTGCCCAGACATAGCATCAGTGGGTCAAAACATCTTGACGTGCATGAATCTGATTCAGAAGGAGGACACATTGCAGAAAATGTGGCAATTGTGGAAAGGCGCCTTAGCTTCCACCAATAATTCAACACCTAACACCACCTTCCCCGCCATCATGTCTAGCTTCATGGCTTCACAATGTCTGCCCAATGTTTCTTGACGACAGAAGACCGGTTAGAAACCGAACCAGTAGAACACAGCATCTTATCTTTCCATCTTTGGAAGGGATGGTTTCCACTTTCTCCTCTGCTCCTTCCAAGCCACCTCTGGATGCTTAGAGCCACCCCACCCTCTCTTCTCCTCATCTCTGCCCCGCTCAGGGTCAACCCATCATCTCCCCGAGCTTTGCTCCGATAAGGCCAACGGAAGGAAATCTCTTGTTGCTTTTCAGCTGGCGCCGTGGGCAGCCACAAGACACACACAGTGTTCCTCTGGTGGTGTAAATATCCTCCAGGCTGTTTGCAGTGCTGAAGGTGGAGGCCTTCAGGGGTGGGAGGGCGAGATGACATCTCTGCCGCTGGTGGCTTTGGAGGCATCTTCACCCCGGGTGGGTGGGATGACGTAGAAGAGCCAACGAGATCCCGATTGAACCGGCCTGCAAATCAAAGACTTTTTTTTACAGTTGTTTATTTCCACAGGAGTCCATAGTGACTCCTTTGGCTACTTGCAAAAGCTCCGATTAAGAAAGGATAATTAAAAAACAAAAAAAGTCACCCAAAAACCATTTGGCGGATTCGTGAGTGGGTGGGCTTGCTTCACAGCTCCCTGAAATGGCGGTGGCGGTGGGGGTGAAGGGGAGGGGGGGGTCTCTCTCTGCCTTGACACGAAGCAAAAAAGGAGGGAAAATTTTGTCCGGTTTGCTCTGAGGTAATTTTGGAAAAGGGGGAAGCCCCGGTTGTTTGTCCATTTGTGGTTGTGGAATCTCCGCTGTCGCACGACTTGGGAGTCATTCCGGGCTACGAGATAAGAAAACCCCAAAGCAGAAGATTACAAAAGGAGCATCTTTCCATCCAACAAGGAGAATGGAGGCAGAAGTGACCCCAAACGAACCTGGCTCTTGTGCAGCCCACTTTGGGGGAACGTGGGCCGGGAAGAGACCGACCGTTGTGTGTTCTGCTCCCTTTCTAGGGCCACCACCAAGCCCATTTTGGTGCTGCTGCCTGTCCTGGGCCTGACCTGGGTGTGCGGCATCCTCGTTCACCTCAGCATCACCTGGGCTTACATCTTCATCATGCTAAACTCCCTCCAGGTGAGTTTGGGTGGACCGAAGCTTCTCTCCCAACATCTGCAGAAGGTTCAGTGGCCCTGGCCAAGGTCTCCTGGTCCAGCAGGAGTTGCCAGGAGGCAGAACTTTTGCAAGGGCCACAGGCGAGGCGTGAACCCCAAAGGGTCATTACCTGAGATCGGCTGTGAAGTGGGAGTCCCGAAGCACGCACCTTTTGACAGACAATTAGCCTTCCATCCACCAATCAATCAAAATAGATCTGGAAGCGAACTTGGAGGTCTTCTAGTCCAGCCCCTGCTCAAGCAGGAAACTCTTGACCATTTCAATCAATCAATCAATCAATCAATCAATCAGAATAGATCTGGAAGGGACCTTGGAGGTCTTCTAGTCCAGCCCCTGCTCAAGCAGGAGACTCTTGACCATTTCAATCAATCAATCAATCAATCAATCAATCAGAATAGAGCTGGAAGGGACCTTGGAGGTCTTCTAGTCCAACCCCTGCTCAAGCAGGAGACCCTTGACCATTTCAATCAATCAATCAATCAGAATAGATCTGGAAGGGACCTTGGAGGTCTTCTAGTCCAACCCCTGCTCAAGCAGGAGACTCTTGACCATTTCAATCAATCAATCAGTATAGAGCTGGAAGGGACCTTGGAGGTCATCTAGTCCACCCCCCTGCTCAAGCGGGAGACTCTCTACTACACCATGGTTTTCTTAGATGCTCCTATGGGGACCATATATAGTCAACGACTTTCTCCTGGTTCAGGAGTGTTAGTATAGAATGCTGGGGTGAACCCCCAGTCAGAAATTTTTGCTCAAAGGGGTGGATGGGAAAAGGGGGCAAGCTTGTTACTCCCTTCCCCCCCCCCTGCACTCAAAGCCATAAAGCCGTGCGGTGCCTTTGGTCTCAGCAGAATACAACCGTGGTTTATGCAATGCAAGGTCTTGTTCAAGCCAACCCTAGATTAGCAAACGTAATTCTGATCTACTCGGGCTCTTCCCCCAAGACTAATTCTTAGGATCAGATTCCTTTATTAAGTATTACGCTGCTTAATCATATATTAAAAAATAATATCATGTAATAATGACAATATTATATTATTAAATATTACACTTGGGAAACTCTTCCCTTTCCTTTTTCCCTTTCTCCTTCCTTCCTTCCTTCCTTCCTTCCTTCCTTCCTTCCTTCCTTCCTTCCTTCCTTCCTTCTTCTTTCCATCCTCCTTTCTTCCTTCTTTCCTCTCCTTCTCTCCCTGCCAGCCTCTCTCCCTTTCCTTTCCTTTCCTTTCCTTTCCTTTTCCTTCCTCTCTCCTTTCATCTTTTCCATCCTCCCTCCCTCCCTCCTTCCTTTCCCTCCTTCCTTCCTTCCTTCCTTCCTTCCTTCCTTCCTTCCTTCCTCTCCCTCTCTCCCTGCCAGCCTCTCTCCCTTTCCTTTCCTTTCCTTTCCTTTCCTTTTCCTTCCTCTCTCCTTTCATCTTTTCCATCCTCCCTCCCTCCTTCCTTTCCCTCCTTCCTTCCTTCCTTCCTTCCTTCCTCTCCCTCTCTCCCTGCCAGCCTCTCCCTTTCCTTTCCTTTCCTTTCCTTTTCCTTCCTCTCTCCTTTCATCTTTTCCATCCTCCCTCCCTCCTTCCTTTCCCTCCTTCCTTCCTTCCTTCCTTCCTTCCTTCCTTCCTTCCTTCCTTCCTTCCTTCCTTCCTCTCCCTCTCTCCCTGCCAGCCTCTCCCTTTCCTTTCCTTTCCTTTCCTTTTCCTTCCTCTCTCCTTTCATCTTTTCCATCCTCCCTCCCTCCTTCCTTTTCTTCCTTCCTTCCTTCCTTCCTTCCTTCCTTCCTTCCTTCCTTCCTTCCTTCCTTCCTTCCTTCCTTCCTTCCTCTCCCTCTCTCCCTGCCAGCCTCTCCCTTTCCTTTCCTTTTCCTTCCTCTCTCCTTTCATCTTTTCCATCCTCCCTCCCTCCCTCCCTCCCTCCCTCCCTTCCTTCCTTCCTTCCTTCCTTCCCAACCTCTCCTATTTTTCTCCCTTCCTGCCTTCTCTTCTTCCTTCCTTCTTTCCTCATCTTCCTGCGCCCCCCCCCCCCGGCCAGGACTAACTAGTCATCTAACCCAGTGGTTCTTCACCTTTTTGAACAAATCGCCCCCTTGAGCCAATGAGGAAGTTGTCATCGCCCCCCCTCCCCCAACATCACCTCTCCATCACCACGTAGGAAATAATTCTTCAATTTATGCAAACACTTTTTTTTTTGTTTTCTTTAAAATTGTCATCAGGACATATCGATGCAAATCATTTATTTCCAGTCTTTTTTCCCATATCTCCCATATTCTGGCCAATGGCGTGCCACTGTATGGGTAGAGGCTGCTGCGCAAGGCGCATGAAGCTAAGCGATGCGTCTTCACATAGGTACGGCGTTCTGTACTGAAGCTAGCTGGAGGAACATTTGAAAACACAATTTCAATCCACTAATAGCGAGCGATCTGATGTTTTTGTACGACAGATATGCAGCGATTCACTGCACGAAAAAGTCTCAAAAGTGTCCCCAAAACATCTCGCTCCATCGCCCCCTTGAAAAATGAAATCGCCCCCTGGGGGGTCATATCGCCCAGCATAAGAACCACTGATCTAACCTACCCCAAACTAAAATGCACAACTCAACCCAGGCATCAGACACAAACACGAACAATTGAGCGTGCTCCCTTTTAACCTCTGGCGAGATTGCTTGGAACAAAACAGTATTTAATTGCCGCTAAGGCTCAGCAGAGGGGATGCTCTGGAAAAGACAGGCCAATATTTATTTACAGGCCCTGGGATGCCAGCTTTCCTCCCTCTTAAAAATGTCAGCTGTCTTAAGAACCAGGTGGATGCAAACACGCCGAGCCAACCCCGAGGCAGGAGAGAAAGAAACAGAAAGTGTGTGTGAGAGAGTGTGGTTTCTGTGTTTGTGTGTGTGTGCCCGTGCCCTGTCTTCCCACCCGTGATGCTTCTTTCCATCTGCAAAGAGCGCAACGGGGCGCTGGGCCCCTCCTTCCACCTGCGTGGGAGTCCTGCGGCTTGCAGAGATACCGGCTGCAATTAATGCGTCAGCTGGCAAAGTTTTGCGATAGCCGAAGGAGAGAGAGAAGCCCTATCAGATGTAAAAAAAAAAGAAAAGCAACAGAGCCCAGCCCGCAGAGTGCAAAGTTGGATTGATGTATAGCTAGGAAATAAAATTCTGAACCAAGGGGGGGGGCTGAAGCCCCTCCCTGGGTCAAGGACAAATCCTGCAGAGGGTGAACAGACCCAGAGAGCGGGCCTGGCTGCAGAGGGTCCTCAATTTGCCAAAGGGAGACATTTTTGGTTCCAGAAAAACAAAACTCACCAGTCTCCAAAGCTGTGCTCTCCTGGCACACATTGTTTTTTTTTTTCCAACAAGAATTCATTGCACAAATAGCACATTGCACAGAATTATCGCAGGGGAAGCCAATTGCCAGGGTGAGAAAACTTGCATTTCTGCAAAAGTGTTCTTGTGTGACTTTTGTGGGTCTGGCTCAGCTTTGCTTCCTTCTCTGGAAAACGGGCAATTTATCCAACCGTTTTTGCTCCATTTGAAACAGCAGGATTTCTGTTAAGTCTGGAGTGAGCTAGCACTAAATTTGGGGTGTTTTTAAGTCACAAGGATCATATTTATCATCAGGAAAAAAAATGTGTTTATAATTTGGCTTCAGAGGGAAAATTCAAGAGCCAAAAACCAGGAAAATAAATACATCGAAAGGACTTTTCTGAAACAAAAGATTGTTGTTTATAATAAAGGATGTGGAAATAAGTCCTCAACAGTTATTAATAATAAAACATCAGGAAATTAATCAGCGGTCTTAACTTGAATGTGCATTTCAAGACCAAATAGAAACCAGCAAAATGTTCCTTTTTTTCTCCCCAGAAGTCTGTCAGGCAAACTACCCTGGCCAGTTACTTTTTAAATACTTATCTCCTGAGAACAAAAGGAAAACTTTTCTAAATTGTATAAAACATTTTTTTTTTTTTTTGAGGGGAGGATGGGATAACATTAGTCTTCAGGAAATTTATTTACGGCATTCGAAAAACTTGTACTGTTGTCCTCTTTCCTTTTCAACGCATTTTTGGCTGGAAATAATTCTTTAAAAAAAGAAAAAAGAACAGAAGAGAAAGAACGGAGAAAGTGCAAGAAAGTTACAAGTTATCTGGACCCCTTATAAAATTCCAGGAACGAGGAATTGCACAATAACACTCTCATCTATTTTATCCTTGGCCTATAAACTTCGGGCAGCATTTAGCCTCTAGATGGAGACGTTTGTAGTTTCTGAAAATTGCCAGGAGCCAATCTTGAGAAAATCAAGATTTGGGCTTTTGCATTTGTGCACATGGTTTTTTTGTTTTGTTTTGTTTTGTTTTTTGTTTTACTTCTATATCTGAGGCTGAGCTGTACATTTTAGCTTAGGAAGTGCCACGAAAATAAATCCATCTAAAGGAAATTTAAAAAAAAATAAAATAAAAGATAGCGTCGTTTAGAATAAAGGATGCATGGAACGCCTTAGAAATAATAAGTCCCCAACAATTATTAATAATAAAACATTGCTACCCTCTATCTGGATCCAGCTGAAAAGCAGATTTTTGGGGGGACCTGCCCCAGAGCCAAGGATTGCAAAACAGAACCCAAAAACAATTCACTTTCCAAACGGTACCAAATGAGAGGGATCTTGGAGTCCTAGTGGACAATCCCTTAAACACGAGCCGGCCGTGTGCGGCAACAGCCAAAAAAGCTAACACAATCCTTGGTTGTATAAACAGAGGCACAGAATCAAAATCACGTGAAGTCTTAGCACTGCTTTATAAAGCCTTAGTAAGGCCACACCTGGAATGCAGCATCCAGTTTTGGTCACCGCATTACAAAAAAGATGTTGAGGCTTTGGGAAAAGTGCAAAGAAGAGCAACTAAGATGATTTAAAGGCCTGGAGACCAAAACATGAAGAACGGCTGCAGGACTTGGATTTGCTTAAAGAAAAGAAGAAATAGGGGAGACATGATAGCAATATTCCAGTATTTGAAGGGCTGCCACCAAGAAGAGGGGGTCACGTTATTTACTAAAGCACCAGAGGGCAGGACAAGAAACAATGGTTGGAAACTGACCAAAGAGAGAAGCAACTTGGAATTAAGGAGAAACTTCCTGACAGTGAGGACAATTAACCAGTGGAACAGCTTGCCACCAGAAATCGTGGGTGCTCCATCACTGGAGATTTTAAAGAAGAGACTGGACAGTCACTTATCTGAAATGGTATAAATTCTCCTGCTTGAACAAGGGGTTGGACTAGAAGACCTCCAATGTCATTCCTATTCTATTCTATTCTATTCTATTCTATTCTATTCTATTCTATTCTATTCTATTCTATTCTATTCTATATTCTATTATTCTATTCTATTCTATTATTCTATTCTATATTCTAATTTTATATTCTATTCTATTATTCTATTCTATTAATATTCTATATTCTATATTCTATTAATCTATATTCTGTTCTTTTATTCTATTCTATTCTATTATTATTCTATATTCTATTATTCTATATTCTATTCTATTCCATTCTATTCTATTCCTTATTCTATTCCTTATTCTATTCTATTCTATTCTATTCTATTCTATTCTATTCTATTCTATTCTATTCTATTCTATTCTTCACCTCCTATCACACATGGATACGTCTTTGAATTGCAAAGCTTTATTATTTTGATTTCGCGGTGAGGCTTTCGAGCTGAACTTAATGCAAAGAGACGGAGTACAGCTCAGCGTTTTCCATCTTGAAAACCTTACCCATTCAAGCCACAAGGAAAACAGTCTCCGACTTTCAGGTTAATGTGATGTGAAGCTGTAATTCTGCAGTGCAGACAGACTCCGTTGATCTTTTCATTGTGGGCAGCTGGAAAAGGAAAAAAAGAGGCTGAAATTGTGAGTTTCTCCTGTTGATCTTTTTACAGCGGCAGCCTCAGCCTCGCAGCTGCTGGTAAGAAGAAAGAAAAACACCCTTCCAGCTTTGCATCTCAGCCTTTGCAACAGCTAAAACAATAATTTTTCCAAGCTAATATCTTTTCAGCTTGTCTGTACGCATTTGCTTTTTCACACACACATACCCCCCCCCCATTTTTTTTTTTTTTTACAGGGCCTCTACATATTCCTGGTCTACGCACTCTATAATAGTGAGGTAAGACTGAGCTTAGAAACACAGCAAGTTTCTAGTCCTTATGATTTTAAATATAACTGTGGCAAGGCGTGGGTGGTGGCTGGGGCAAGCCTGATCTGTGGGAGGCTTACTATTTCAGCTTTTTTTTTTAACTATTAAAAAAAAATTGGTCTCTCAAGATCAGGAGACTGTTGCATCAGTTATAACAGAAGTTTGGAAGAAAAAAAAAACCTGCCTTTTTTTAATCACTTTAAAAAAAAAAAAAAAGCATGTTATGGCCAGCTGGGGATTCAGAGTGCAGAAACAAATCTGTACCATTTGTTTTTACGTTTCTGCTTGTTGTTGCACAAACAAACTTAAGGAGCCATCATTCAACCGTACGACATATGAACAGCAAGACCAGATTTCCTAGGATAAATTTTTTTCTCTTTTTTTCCTTACATATAAAAGGAGCCAAAACTCGTTGCAGGATTCCAGATGTTGCTAAAAGGCCTCTCGCAGCCCCACGTGGCGGGGACGCTGGGAGATGTAGTTTACCGTTAGGTGGAGATGTCACTCAATTGTGCCCCCAAGGTTCTCAAGGAGAAAGAGTTTTGAGAAGTGTAACTAAGACACTCATCTTCCCCAGTTCCCTGCTCCGTCGCTATCAAATGTGGAGAGTTCTCTTTCATTGGCTCTGGAAGACCTCGAAAATTTAGTCTGATCTGAATTTCAGGCACGGGGCTTTCCTGACTTCTGGAGAGCATCATTGGTGGGATACTTTGGACCAAATGGCTGACCTCTCTTTGTGTTCCATCTCCAGGTGCGCAATGCCATCCAGAGAATGAGAGAGAAGAAAAAAGCCCTCTCCTTCACGGTAGGTCTGAAGACCCCAGCAAACTTTCTCTACCTTTCGGTTCCATTTTGGGTTAGATGTTCCAGCGTGGCCTCCTCAGAATAAACTGGGACCGTCCGCTCCAGATTCCACTTGGCACGGTCGAAGGAAAGGATGAGGGCTGGAGTCTTACCACATCGGAGACACTTTCTGGGAAAAAAGCTTCTCTATAGGGGTGACCCATTTGTTACCATCTACTCCTTGATGTCTAGGGCAGGGCTTTTCAACCAGTGGTACGGGTACCACCTGTGATACATTGGCACCTGGCAGGTAGTACGCGACCATCCTAGAAAGGTGGTAGCGGGGGAGGCTCCTTGCCTTCGCAGCATCTGGAGGCAGACCTGCACAAAGTTATGGAGGCCCACCTTGCCTTCGCAGCATCTGGACCCAGACCTGCACAAAGTTATGGAGGCCCACCTTGCCTTCGCAGCGTCTGGAGCTAGACCTGCACAAAGTTATGGAAGCCCACCTTGTCTTTGCAGCGTCTGGATCCAGACCTGCACAAAGTTATGGAGGCCCACCTTGCCTTCGCAGCGTCTGGACCCAGACCTGCACAAAGTTATGGAGGCCCAACTTGCCTTCGCAGCATCTGGACCCAGACCTGCACAAAGTTATGGAGGCCCACCTTGTCTTTGCAGCGTCTGGATCCAGACCTGCACAAAGTTATGGAGGCCCACCTTGCCTTCGCAGCGTCTGGACCCAGACCTGCACAAAGGTACGGAGGCTCACCTTGCCTTCGCAGCATCTCAGAGAGGTTTTCCTGCTTCTCCCAGGCGTCAGGGAAGGTCCTCACCCCCCAGAGCTTCTCTTCTCCTGTCGTTTCAGAACTGCTCCCACCCTGTCAATTATCTGTCAAGCCCCAGGAACACCTCCTGGGAGATGGCCAGATTCAACCCAACCACTCCGGAAAGTACATCCTGTTCCACCGAGAAGGACACCACGTCCAAGAGCAAAGGTAGGGAGAGAGTGGCTTTTCCTTCCAGCCAGCAGGAAGACTCGGGCTGCGTTCGGATGTTGGCTGTTTGCACCCAACTGATGCCTCTTTCCTAATATAGGGAACTTCACTGCCAAAATCCCACGGACTGTTTCATCAATTATGTCGCCAGAGAAACCGGTAAGTCCCACGCGCTCAGAAGGTGTCCTAAATGTTCACCTTCTCCTGGGCATCAGGCCACCTTGTCAGTGTGAGCATTTCGCATCTCTTGTGTTGAGTAAAACAGGTCTGATGGCCAAGTGTGGGGTGTACGCCCTAGCCTCAGTCAAGCGCCCTGTTGCCCGTGTTGTGTTGTTTCCACAACTCCTCTTTCCCGTGGCCATCTTTGGACCTCAAGCTTCTGGAGGACGCCATCTTGCAGGAGAAAGAGTTAGACCTGCTGAGGGGAACACCTTGTGAGACTAGCTTCCCGTTGTCTCAAGGAAAGCTGTGGGGCCAGTTTATGGAGCCAAGTCCCTGGCTGAGCACACCGGGGACCTATGGGGTGTGTGAACACGCAAACGGTGAAGGCCAGTAGCATCTAGGAGGCCCTTCCAGGCCTGCACAAAGTGATGGAGGCCCACCTTGTCTTCGCAGCATCTGGATCCAGACCTGCACAAAGTTATGGAGGCCCACCTGCCTTCGCAGCATCTGGATCCAGACTGCACAAAGTTATGGAAGCCCGCCTGCTTTCACAGCATCTGGATCCAGACCTGCACAAAGTTATGGAAGCTCACCTGCTTTCACAGCATCTGGATCCAGACTGCACAAAGTTATGGAAGCCCGCCTGCTTTCACAGCATATGGATCCAGACCTGCACAAAGTTATGGAGGCCCACTTGCTTTCGCAGCATCTGGATCCAGACTGCACAAAGTTATGGAAGCCCGCCTGCTTTCACAGCATCTGGATCCAGACCTGCACAAAGTTATGGAGGCCCACTTGCCTTCGCAGCATCTGGATCCAGACCTGCACAATGTTATGGAGGCCCACTTGCCTTTGCAGCATCTGCATCCAGACCTGCACAATGTTATGGAGGCCCACCTGCCTTCACAGCATCTGGATCCAGACTTGCACAAAGTTATGGAGGCCCACCTGCCTGCACAGCATCTGGATCCACACCTGCACAACGTTATGGAGGCCCACCTGCCTTTGCAGTGTTTGGATCCAGACTTGCACAAAGTTATGGAGGCCCACCTTGCCTTCGCAGCATCTCGGAGAGGTTTTCCTGCTTCTCTCCCCCCCCCTCGCCCGTCCATCCGTCATCAGCAGCGTCAGCAGCTTCCCAGCCGAACGCCGTGTTCTCACCAGCCAAAGCCCGGTGACATGGGGGTGCAGATGCCTAGATGACATTTCTGCCAGGCTATTGAAAAGGACGATGGGCGCGGTCACATCCAAGCCCCCCCCCATGCCTCTCCGTCAAATAAACAGCTCTTCCCCCACTCCCCTTCTTTCCTCCCCCCCACCCCATTTTAATCAGCAAAGTACGCCTCGCCTGGTGTCTTGTTTTGAGGGTCTGGATGGGGCTAGCAAAATCAGGGTGTCGGTCACCTCCCAGGTGTTAGATCCAGCGACCCATGTCATTGCCAAGTTACCGGGCACCCGGCCTTAAGCACAGGGCTCAATCAATTAAGCCAGCCAGAAACGTTGCTGGTGATTTTTAAATGCCAAGGCCAGCGTTAGACTCACGAGGCGGAGAGGAAGCGAGCTTCGCGCCCGGCTTTTCCGTCTCCTTCCCCAGCTGGAGTGACCAGAAAGGGTGGAAGGTGGACTTGGGATAAAGTGAATTCTGGGGTGGGAGGAAGAGAAAAATTGCAAAGATTGGCTCTCAGCTGTTGGAGATCAGCTTCCTGATCATAAGGTCTAGAAACTTAGCTTTGTTTTTCTTTTCTTTTGTTTTTTTTTAACAAAAGAGGCAGGTACTTTCAGTCTGGTGCGCTGTAGGATGCTGCGTGGGTGTGTGTTTGTGTGTGTGTTGATGCATGTTGATGGAGAACATCTAGGCAGAGATTTGTGAGTCAGGAATGACTTGCTGGCACATTATATGCATACACACACCTCACTGGGCTCAAAGGATATTTTATCCATGATAAAATAAAATAAAATAAAATAACGGGGTTTCCCAAGCTGTGGATAAGAGTGAGTTGACTTGAACCCACTGTGGACTCACTAAACCTGGGTGAAAAAATGCAGTCTGGCAATCTTGAGGTTGAATTCAAGGTTTGTGTAAAGGTTGGATTAGATGACCTCGGAGGTCCCTCTAAACCTCTGAGTCCATGAAAATGGAGTTGCTTGTACCTTGCAGACATATGGACTACAAATCACACCATCCTTTAGGGCTCCAGCAACAAGAAGGCTGCGCCACTGTGAGGTAGAATGGATTAAAATAATTTTTACAAGGGGGGCATCGTAAAAAAAATGAAACAACTTTCTTTTTTTTTAACAATTGCATCTCCAGTTTTGAAGGGAATAGAGATTGGAAAAAGCCAGCGCACAAGAAAGAAAGAAAGAAAGAAAGAAAGAAAGAAAGAAAGAAAGAAAGAAAGAAAGAAAGAAAGAAAGAAAGAAAGAAAGAGGGAGGGAGAGAGGGAGAGAGGGAGGAAGGAAGGAAGGAAGGAAGGAAGGAAGGAAGGAAGGAAGGAAGGAAGGAAGGAAGGAAGGAAGGAAGGAAGGAAGGAAGGAAAAATTGACCTGGCATTTGATCATGACCTCTTATCATCGTAGAATAGAAAAGTAGAAGCCAGAACGGTGCTTTGGGGCAATAAACACATTTAAAAGGGTTTTTTGGTCATCCAAGACGGGATCCTAAGCATCGCTGTGTTATAAAATCGAGGTGGTATGTTGTTTGCTTACGTTAATATTTGCAGACTGAAAAGAGCTCCGATGAAAGTTTGATTAGCAAAGTTTAACTGGATATTGTTTTCTGGGAAACTGTTTGGCTATGAGATTGAAGACATATGGGGGTTACCTGCAGAGATTTAGGGAGATTCATTCTCTCTCTCTCTCTCTCTCTCTCTTTCTCTCTCTCTCTCTCTCTCTCTCTCTCAATCTCTCATTTTTAGTCTCTCAATCTCTCTCTCTTTCTCTCTGTCTCTCTGTCTCAATCTCTTTCAATCTCATTCTCTCTCTCTTTCTCTCTCTCTCTATCTCAATCTCTTTCTCAATCTCTCTCTCTCTCTCTCATTCCCTTTCTCTGTCTCATTCTCTCTCTTTCTGTCTCAATCTCTCTCTCTTTCATTCCCTTTCTCTGCCTCAATCTCTCTCTCTCTCTCATTCTCTCTCTCTTTCTCTGTCTCAATCTCTCTCTCAATCCTTCTCTCTCTCTCTCTTTTTCCAGGCTGTACAACTGACTGCCTTCAAATCATCAGGTAAGGCTTCCCCTCATTTGAGTTCATATTTGCTAAATTTTCATGCTCCAAGGTGGGAATAAAACGTTGTTTTAACTGGAGAAATCACGCCTCAAATTGCACTAGCCAGGAGCCTTGTCGCGCTCAGAATCCAGACCGGAGTATTCCTTCCCTGCAGAATATTAGTTGAGAAAGTTAATAATAATAATAACAACAATAACAACCACAACAATAATATCAAACTTTTGCAAAGTTGAAAAACACCCTCCAGATCAGACCAGCCTCTGCAACGGGAATTGCTGACCAATTTCTAATTTTTGCAAGCATATTAAATCGTGCCTCAAATTCTGCTCTTTAGGACTCTTGTCATGCTCAGGATCCATGCCCAGGACACACCTGAGTACAGGCAGTTCTCGACTTACGAACACAATTGACCCCCAAATTTAGGTGGCTCAGTGAGAAATTTCTTAAGTGAGTTGTGCCCCATTTTACGACTTTTCTTCGCTCCAGTTGTTCAGGCTAGCAACACGGCTGGGAAGCGAATCGGGCTCTCCCCCCCATTGACTTTGTTTGTCAGAAGGTCGCAGAGGGGGATCATGGGACCTCCCCCTCCGGGATGCTGCAACCGTCATAAGTGTGAATCAGTTTGCCCCAAGCGTCCAAATTTTGATCAGGTGACCATGGAGATGCTGCAGTCGTCATAAGTGTGAAAAACGATCATCAGTCAGTGTTTTCAGGGCTGTTGTGACTTTCAACAGTCACTAAACACACTGTTGTAAGTTGAGGACTGCCTGTATTCCTTCTCTGCAGAATATTTGTTGAGAAAGTTCCATATATATAAATATATACTTGTGTGTATATATAATGATTAGTATTTATATGTTACTTATATGTAAGGGTGTAGGTCGATTCATATGTTGTATATAGCATGTTTAAATGTGTGTTATATATGTGTACACTTGGAGAGCAAGCAAAAATTTCATTTTTAATGTATGCCATTGTGCCCACAGTAAAAATGACAGTAAAGGTTATCTATCTATCTATCTATCTATCTATCTATCTATCTATCTATCTATCTATCTATCTATCTATCTATCTATCCATCCATATCTATCTATCTATCTATCTATCTATCTATCTATCTATCTATCTATCTATCTATCTATCTATCTATCTGTGTCTATCTATCTCTCTCTGTATCTACCTATCTATCTCATCTACCTCTGTCTGTCTGTCTGTCTATCCATCTATCTATCTGTCTGTCTATCTATCTATCTATCTTATCTAGCTAGCTATCAAGCTATCTCTGCCTCTGTCTCTATCTATCTATCTATCTATCTATCTATCTATCTATCTATCTATCCATCCATATCTATCTATCTATCTATCTATCTATCTATCTATCTATCTATCCATCCATCCATCCATATCTATCTATCTATCTATCTATCTATCCATCCATATCTATCTATCTATCTATCTATCTATCTGTGTCTATCTATCTCTCTCTCTCTGTATCTACCTATCTATCTCATCTACCTCTGTCTGTCTGTCTGTCTGTCTATCTATCTATCTATCTATCTATCTATTTATCTATCTATCTATCTATCTATCTATCTATCTATCTATCTATCCATCCATATCTATCTATCTATCTATCTATCTATCTATCTATCTATCTATCTATCTATCTATCTATCTATCCATCCATCCATCCATATCTATCTATCTATCTATCTATCTATCTATCCATCCATATCTATCTATCTATCTATCTATCTATCTATCTATCTATCTATCTATCTATCTGTGTCTATCTATCTCTCTCTCTGTATCTACCTATCTATCTCATCTACCTCTGTCTGTCTGTCTGTCTGTCTGTCTATCTATCTATCTATCTATCTATTTATCTATCTATCTATCTATTTATCTATCTTTATATCCATATTTATATCTATATATCATCTATCTATGTAACTATCTAATTATTATCTATCTGTTTGTGTATGTATGTATGTATGTATGTATGTATGTATGTATGTGAATATAAAACTTTTGCAAAGACGAAAAGTACCCTCCAGATCAGACCAGACACTGCGACGGGAATCGTTGACCAATTTCTATTATTCACCAGCATATTTTCAAACCGCAATTCGCATGCAAATCCTCAGTGATAGAAAGCGAGAACAATGTTGTTATTAAACAGGGACACGGTGCAAAGTCTTGATGGGGGGGGGGGAAATCAAACGGTTGTTCTCTTGCTTCGCTGGCCCCCTCCCCACCAAAAGCCTCTGGACCCCATTCACTTGACAAGAGGCCACATGTTTCTTTCCACCCCCACACCTCCCCCAAACATCACCCCCTCCCCAAATGAGTCGCTGGCTGGCATTATGGAGGTATGATATTCAGTGGATATTCAGTCCACTCCATTATCTGGGAAGGTGAGGGCCCTGGAAAAGAGGGGGTGGGCTGTGCAGGGGGGGGTGCCTGTGAGATGGGGAGGGGGCCCCCAGAGAATATTGTCATATGTTTAGCCACACAATGAGGTGTTTCTTTTGTTCCCGCCTGACGGAGAAGACGATCACCACAGCCCCTGTCTCCTCAAGTGTCAGTGCATTGTCTCCCCGTGATAATTTCATTACCGTGTTTGAATACATCTCGCATGTTGCTAAGCCGTGCTTAGCAACATATGCTCCCTGTCCCTGCAGCTGGGCACCCGACAGGATCGGGAGGTGGGGAGGGGGGGCCATTCCGGCAAGCCGGAGGCTTGAAGCGAGATAGGATTCCCCACCACCACCACCCCACTTTACGGTGCCAGCCTTGGGAAAAAACAACAACAGGGTACCGTTGACCCAAGACTGGGTGTGAACATCCGAGTTGTGGACGTTCAAAAAACGAACCACATCCTTGTGGCTGTGCTGCAGATGTGAGACCTTCTTTCCCTCCGTTGGGAAGAGATGGGGGTAACAGTGAGGCTGGCATCTTCACACTAGGTTAGCTGGAGGGACTCCCCCCCTGAGGGTGGGAGACGCCAACATCTCCAGTTTTGGTGAGTTTGCATCAATCCGGGAGGGATTTTAACCTGTTTTTTGGGGGGGATTTTAATTTTTTTTATTTATTCCCTTTTCACTCTACAACAAAAAATAAAAATACGTTTTTTTCCCTTAACAGTACTGTGTTGTACATCTCATATATATTATTTACAATTATTTGCGTTAGCAATCGTATCTGTTTGTTTCTCTGTCCTAGCCAATCATAACATTTGTTCCATGTCTCGTAGAATTCTGTTGACTCCTTGTCTTTTAGTTCTAGCGTAAGTTTGTTCATTTCCGCGCATTCTAGCATTTTATATATAATCATATCATTTGTAGGTATGTTTTCACCCTTCCAACACTGGGCATATACTAGGCGGGCTGCTGTTAATATATGTACAATGATGTATTGGAGTTGTTTTTCCATGGATTGGAACAATTTGAACCTGTTAACGGGGGTCCTTGATTTAATGTACGGCCCGTCAATTCCAGATTAGCTTCCATCGCTCCGTCTACTTTTTAAACTGAAAAAACAACAACAACAACCAAGATTGAAGGAAACTAAAACGGCTAAACCATGATGGGCCTTTTTTTCCTCTTTCAGGCTTATGAGCCGAGCTGTTCCCAGCGACGTATCTCCAACCGATGACTGTTGAGGGACAAAAAAAAACAACAACAACAGAAGATGGAGAAGTGTGTGGAGGGTTCCTTTTCCAACCCCTTTCGGATGCTGGCTCCGCAGTTAGGATTTACTAACCAAGATGCTTTCCTCACCGTTTCCCACGTCCCCAAGTTCCCTTGCTGTGGATTGTGGCTTATTTGGGTATCCCAAAGGTGCCTTTTCTGGAGGCCACTGGACTTTCTTGTTTCTCTTTGAAGATGTTTTGCTTCTCGTCCCAGAAGCTTCTTCAGCTTTGACAAGATGGTGGGGAATGGAAGGATTTATCCTCCTTGCAAACAGCTGGTCATTTGCCTCCTTTTAGAGAGTCATTAAGGCCACTTGGAGGCTTACATGTGTCCTCAGGGTCACCTGAGTGGTGCAAATGGGTGTGAGGTCTTCTTGGCTGCAGGATGTTTTCTGCCCTGGGTCCCTTCCTTGTTGGAGACAGGCACAGGCTGTTGGGGAAGAGTCTATGTTGTCTGCATCTCAAACTGAAGCGCAAATGTTTCCCGTAGCCTGCAATGTTTTCCGGAAATCCATTTGGGAGTCTGCAAAGAGTATAAATCCTTCCCTTCCCCACCATCCAGTCAGAGCTGAAGAAGCTTCTTGGATGAAAAAGCGAAACATCTTCAAAGAAAAAACAGTTGCTTCTTGAGAAAGCAACCTTGGGACAACCATGATCTAGATGACTTAGAATCTCTATCGGCTTATTTGGGTCTTTGAGTATGTGGAGATACTCGGTCATAAAATGGCAACCTTGGTAGGGGAGCCTCTGATTTCCCCACCCCCGCCCCTTTTCTTGGCTTCCAAGCTAAGGAGAACAACCAGGCAACACAACAATCCATCCTAATTGTGAACCTCTGGTGAACACTTCTACCGTAGTGTCTTCCAGCCTGGAGCAAATGAGCCACAGCAGGAGAAAAGACTATGTAGTCACCCCAAAGGGCAGTGTTGGGTAGAAGATTAGTCTAGTGGGTGGGTCACAATGGCCTCTTCTGATGTGGCTGGTCCTCAACCTTAGATCAATCTCCATCGGAGCCGTCTGTTCTAGCTGCCCCTAGAAGAACGTTCTCCTTTCTGGAAGCCAACTCTTGAGGGTTGATCAGCTTTCTATCTCCTTATTTTTCATCCCTGGCCCCAAACCTTCCTTGTTTCACACCAGCCATCTCTGCCAGGGCTTTCCCTATCCACCGACATCATCCCGATGCCTCCAGAGATGCTACCTTCATCCTGTTTTCAGCAGGACGCAGCCAGGGACATCAAGCCAGGGAAGATAAGGTTCAAGAAGATTTGAGAGACCTTCAGTTTCAGAAAACGACCCTGGGTGCTCATGGAAATCTTTTGATTGTCCCATTTTGGGCATGAAACCGTTTCCGTGAGCGCCGATGGGACATTTTCGAAGCGCTATTTTTAAAATTATCATCAGCTTCTGAGGGCCAACGGACTTTTTTTCCACCCTTCCAGTTCCAGTTTTTTTCAGGACAATGACTCCTCGGGTGTCAGCAATATCTGTCGTAGTGCTTGCTCTCTCTGACATGTCCAGGAGGCTAAAAATTCCCATTTTTAATCCCAACTTATTCCGGATGCCCCCCATGGCCCTTTCCGTCTGTGTCCTCCTTGCGAAATTTACTCCAGTGTTTTGAATTCGAGATCCTTCAAAGGAGACTTTGGACGAGGCGGAAAAGGCAAATGCACCGACAAGCATTATGGGGTTGTTGTTATCCAGCGGTAGATGGTCACATTAAGAGAAAGCAGGACGTGTGTAACTCTTGGATGTAAAAACGTACAGTCATCTCCATTTATTATTTTAAAAATTGGATCAGCCGGCTGGGGGGGCGGAACGTGACGGGTTTCAGTGTGCTCAAAGTAACGCTTAGAGATCTTTCTTTTACACACACACAAAAAAGCACCCACCGGGAGAACAGGACTTGTGTTGTGTTTATGAAGCGTGGACATTTGGCGACATATTTTGAGACCCAAACAGGGAGATAACCAGCTGTAATCTTTTGAGGGATTCTTCTGCCGACAACAAAATAAAAACTTGAAAACTCTCCCAGGTCTTTCCTTCGCCTGTTCTCTAGGAAATCTTTACATGTGGTCGGGCGTTATCGGCTGAGATTTTAAAAGTGGGCAGGGCCTGTGGGGCCAAAAAAAAAAAAAAAGTCTGGTGGGGAATATCTTCCTCCCCCCCCCCAAATTAAATTAAAACGGCCTCTGCTCAATTGGTGAAGAGGAACCACCCCCCCTTCCCCCAGGCCTGATATCCTTGGCCAGGCTGGCTGGGGCCCATGGGTACTCTAGTCCCGCACACCTGGGGAGGGCGGAGGGAATCACAAACTCAGCAAAGGGCTGCTGCTATCTGAACAGTTAGCCCAGCTGAAATCTGAATTAAATATATGCCTTGAAAAGATCCGCAGGAAGGGAAATAGAAGGGTGCCCTGGCGATGCTCGAACCCCAGACTCAAAATGTGCTTCTCAGGGGGAGTCCTAATGTCTGAATAGGCAGCTATACCTGGAAGCAAACATCTGGAAAGTGTTCTCTAAATGCTATTGGTTTGGGGGTCTCTGGGAAACATTATTTTGCAAGGGAAGACCCCGGCAAGCTCTGTTTCTTGGCTGGGTTCCTTAGTTTTTGCCCTTTCTTCCTTCCTTAACTGTCTCCTTCCTTCTCTCCTTCCTTCCTTCCTCCTTCCCCATCTTTTCCTTCCTTCACTGTCTCCTTTCTTCCTTAACTGTCTTCCTCCCTTCCTTCCTTCCTTTCCTTCTCTAATTAATACCTAGGATAATTTCCATTTCCTTCCATTCTTCCTTCCTTCCTTTCCTTTCTTCCTTTCCTCTTTCTCTCCTTCCTTCCTCCCTCCCCATCTGTTCCTTTTCTTCCTTCCTTCCTTAATTGTCTCCTCTCCATCCTTCCTCCCTCCCTCCCCATCTTTTCCTTGTCTTCTTCCTTCCTTAACTGTCTCCTTCCTTCCTTCTCTCCATCCTTCCTTCCTCCCTCCCTCCCCATCTTTTCCTTCCTTCCTTCCCTTCTCTAATTACCTAGGATAATTTCCATTTCTTCCCATCCTTCTTTCCTTTCCTTCCTTCCCTCTTTCTCTCCTTCCTTCCTCCTTCTCCATCTTTTCCTTGTCTTCTTCCTTCCTTCCTTGTCTCCTTCCTTCCTTCTCTCCATCCTTCCTTCCTCCCTCCCCATCTTTTCCTTAACTGTCTTCCTTCCTTCCTTCCCTTCTCTAATTAACACCTAGGATAATTTCCATTTCCTTCCATTCTTCCTTCCTTCCTTCCCTCTTTCTCTCCTCCCTCCCTCCCCATCTTTTCCTTGTCTCCTTCCTTCTCTCCATCCTTCCTTCCTCCCTCCCTCCCTCCCTCCCTCCCCATCTTTTCCTTAACTTCCTTCCTTCCTTCCTTCCTTCCTTCCCTTCCTTCCTTCCTTTAATTAACACCTAGGATAATTTCCATTTCTTCCCATCCTTCTTTCCTTTCTTTTCCTTTCCTTCCTTCTTTCTCTCCTCCCTCCCTCCCTCCCCATCTTTTCCTTGTCTCCTTCCTTCCTTCTCTCCATCCTTCCTTCCTTCCTCCCTCCCCTTCTTTTCCTTAACTGCCTGCCTTCCTGCCTTCCTGCCTTCCTTTCTTCCTTCCCTTTCTCTAACACCTAGGATAATTTCCATTTCTTCCCATCCTTCTTTCCTTTCCTTCCTTCCTTCTTTCTCTTTCGTTCCTCCCTCCCCATCTTTTCCTTGTCTTCTTCCTTCCTTCCCTCCCCCCTCCTCCTCCTCCCCAACTTCCCCCCCCCCCCAGCCTTTTCACAGGGAGAAAAGGGCCACCCCCTCCGAGTCACCCCCACGCCTGCAGCTGGACCTGGGCCTGGTGTCTTATCATTGTTGGCCAGGCTCCAGCCCTGCTCCGCTGTCCAGGAAAGAGTCTTGGGAGGAGGGACATCCCAGTTTTGTAAACTAGAAGGACAACTCCCCACAATTATTGTTTTTTTTTAAAGCACCAAAATGGCCCCATTTTTGGTTGACTGGAGAAAGGATGCTGCATGGCTTTTTCTCTGCCCGGCTTCCTCCCAGCCTCGCATCTGTGGAGGGATGGATCCTGACCCTCCATACGAGTCTTCAGGGTGTCCCCCCCTGCCCCACACCCTCGGCCGTTCTCCGGTTAGCAAGGAAAGAGTCCAAGCAAGGTCACTGAAGGCAAAAGAACGTCCCCACAGCAGAATTACAAAATTTATTGGAATGTCTGAATTCGGCAAGGTAAAACTCCATAGAGACTTCTGGGTGGAGGGGGCAGGAAGAGGCAGCATAGACACTTAAGAGCACTTTTCATGTTTGGGGAGGGCTGGGGGGAGGGGGGGAAGGAAGCCACCATCGCTGCCACCACCGCCCCAGATCCACTGGCAAATCAAGAAAGCATCCTTGCTTCCTATGGCGTCCTCCGACTCTTTCAAACCGCAACACGCAGATCCACAGACGCACAGAGAGAAGATTGTCCCAACGTCACATCCAAAGCAGGAAAGGGGTCATCAAAACACAAAGAGATAAGCCATCACACGAGACCACCGTTGTAGCGTTGAAGAGGGGGGGGGAGGCAGACCTGGGTGGGAAGGCACTCGACAGCTCCGAAGAGGCCAAATTGGGGGGTTTTGGCGGGGGGGGGGATTGGGATGGACAAGGGCAAGGAGAGGAAAACACAGCAGCCCCCAAATTGCTTTCATCCCTATCCCTCAAAAGCAGAGAGTCCCTTAACCCCATGCCCTGGGTTCCCAAGCTTGTCTGCTAAAGAAACAGCTCTGAAGCTCAGTTAAATATTGCAGTTTTTGTAAACGCTGCGATGCCGGAGCGATGTGGCTGGATGGTCAGTGCTTTTAAGGAAATCGATTCCCCACCCTCCAAATTTCTTTGCAAGAACAATCTTGCATAGCCAGTCAGACTCCTAATGGGGCCTTCCCTTGTTTTAGCAAAGAGAGAAAGAGAGAGAGAGAGAGAGAGAGAGAGAGAGAGAGAGAGAGAGAGAGAGAGAAAAGGGGGAGAGAGAGAGAGGAAGAGGGAGGGAGAGGGAGGGAGAGAGAGAGGAAGAGGGAAAGAGAAAGAGAGAAAGAGAAAGGGAGATGAAGAGAGGGAGAGAGGAAGAGAGGGAGGGCGAGGGAGGGAGTGAGAGGAAGAGGGAGAGAGAAAGAAAGAGAAAGGGAGAGAGAAAGAGAGAGAGAAAAAAAGGGGAGAGAGAGAGAGAGGAAGAGAGGGAGGGAGAGGGAGGGAGAGAGAGAGGAAGAGGGAGAGAGAAAGAGAGAAAGAGAAAGGGAGAGGAAGAGAGGGAGAGAGGGAGAGAGGAAGAGAGGGAGGGCGAGGGAGAGAGAAAGACACACACAGAGAGAGACAGAGAGGAACAAGCTACAAGAAAAGAAACAGGAAGATGTTTGACCTTCATGGAGAAGGTCCAACAGGAATTGGACTTTGAGAAATACTTAAATAGACACACAACTTGGACAGGAACACACACACACACACACACACATACACACTGTATCTCTACGAGCAAGTAAGGTCAGGATTCTGGATAGGCTAGCTTCCTTGCAAGCTGGATGGGTTTGAAGAACTGTAGGACGCACCGGTCAGAACATCACGGGATGGACGGATGGTGGCTTTATGGTCCAGATCTGGCCTTTCCTGGACAGGCACTGTCTCTCCCCCCCCCCAAAAAAAGTCCCTCCAACTGGGAAATCAATGAACGAATGAAATTAACACGTGGATATTTAGGACTTCTGGGAAGTGACACCAACAGGAACGTGGCAACGGTTCTTTTCCCCCCCCCCCCGAGAGCCCAGCCTCTGAAAACAATCCACTTCTTGCTGGGTAGAGCCCAAAAAAGAACATTAAATTGCTAGACAGGTAGGGAAAAAAAAGAAAGAAGAAAGGATAATTTCATGTGATCGTGAGGGTCTGCTTCACAAGCCTCCAAAGAGGAGACCCTCTTTCGTGAAGATACGCCCACCAATTCTTGAGTCACTGTACCGTAGAGTGGGCCAAACGCACAGCCAGGAGAGGCAACGTGAGCTAAACTGAAACTTAAAAGTAGACAGTCTGTTAAATTTTTGCAGAGATCTTGGCTTCCCACCGTGAGATCAAGAAGGGGTCGATGTGGGGGGGGGGAGGGAGGAGGATGCTGTGCCCTATCCCAAAGTTGCTGAGATCTCTGGACACCCCCCAAAAGCATCTTCCCTACATTTGAAGAGCAGAGCGCCCCATTTTCACTGCAAAATGCGTCAGATATGGCAGGGAACACGCCTTGGCTTCGTTCCAAGGGGTGCTAGCAGGTTTCCCCTTTCGGATCTGGACCGATGGACCTACAGGTCAGGGAAAGAAAGACAGGGCAGCCCCTCTCTCTGCCCCACCCACCCACCCACTCACCCCTGGTTTGGGGTCCCCCACGGCAGACTCGGCCACCAAACCGTCTCCAAGGGTTAAGTTGCTCTTTCGGCTTTCCAAACATCACAGCATCTGGGACAAAAAGACCAAGAGCCCCCGGGGTGGGATTGGCCCAATTTCAGCAGGCTGGACAACGAGAGGACCCGGGTCAAGCCCAGATTAGGGGAGGGCTCCCCTAATTGCCAACCCTGCTCTCCCCTCTCCCCCACCGGCTCGACTCTTCCCCACTGTCCCAGCCTCTCCAGCCTCCCCCATCCGTCCGTCCGTCCATCCGTCCCCTGCCTGGGGTCAAGTCCGCTTAGCATGCAGCATTTCAATCAGCAGGTTGTTGCAAGGCACCTCCCCGCTCAGGTGTTTGTGGTACAGGTAATCTTCAGCCTGCATGCTGAGTGCCCGGATGTCCGCCAACTGGATGAGCAACTGCCGGAATTTGTCCGTGACATGCGGATAATGGCAGAGGGTGTACTCCATCAGGGCTGTGTTGGCTTTTTCTTGGGCCTCCTTCACCACGCTGGAGTTCTCCACGTACTTCACATCTGCAGCCGAAAGAAGAAACACGGGCAGGGGGAGGTCAGCCTGGTCTGCCCCCTCCCCAGCCAGCCAGGAGTTTCCTTGGGGGAAAGTTGCATTAAGAGAGGGATTCAATCAAGATCGCGGGGGAGATACTAATACCGCTCTGTAAAGCCTTAGTAAGGCCACACCTGGAATACTGCAACCAGTTTTGGTCAAGACATTATACAAAAGGTGCTGAGACTCTGGAAAGGGTGCAGAGAAGAGCAACAAAGAGGATCAGGGGACTGGAGGCTAAAACATAGGAAGGACGGTTGCAGGAATTGGGTGTGTCTTGTTTAATGAAGAGAAGGACGAGGGGGGGACAGGATAGCCGTCTTCCAATATTTGAGGGGCTCTTACAGAGAGGAGGGGGGTCAACCTATTCTCCAAAGCACCTGAAGGCTGGACAAGGAATAACAGATGGGAAGCGACCAAGGAGAGAGACTCAACTTACAAATAAGGAGAAATTTCCTGACAAGGAGAACAATCAATCAGTGGAACAACCTGCCTCCAGATGTCAGAAATGGTGGAGGGTCTCCTGCTTGGGTTGGGGGGTTGGATTAGAAGACCTCCAAGATCGCTTCCAATTCTGTTATTCTATTCTATTCTATTCTATTCTATTCTATTCTATTCTATTCTATTCTATTCTATTCTATTCTATTCCATATATCCTATCCTATCCTATCCTATCCTATCCTATCCTATCCTATCCTATCCTATCCTATCCTATCCTATTCCATTCCATTCCATTCCATTCCTGTATTCTATTCTATTCTATTCTATTCTATTCTATTCTATTCTATTCTATTCTATTCTATTCTATTCTATTCCTAGTCTAGTCTAGTCCAGTCTAATTTACTTTACTCTATTCTCTATTCTCTATTCAAGCTAAAAGGAATCCAGGTTTAAGTCAGGCATCGGGTTGCACACTTCTGAACGGTGTGAACCGTTGACCCCGGCTGAAAATAGGATTGACCCTTTTTAGATGCCAGCTGCCGTCGATCCCGTGCCGAGCAGGGGGCTGGACTGGATGACCTCTACGGTTCCTTCCAGCTCCGATTTCATGAAGTCCGCGGGGGAAATGTCACGGCAGGTAAACAAGACGCTTCTGCCTCGCCGTCTGGATCGGCGTCACCTCCAAACTCCGGGCGAGGAGATTGTCCTTAATCTGCTCGGCCTCCGCAAAAGCCGCCAGGCAGCTCAGCCGGCATAGAAACGGTGATCCCTGCTGCCGAGCACAGCCGGGCCAGGGTGGGAATATTGCGGAGGAGACGGCCAGGCAGGTGTGCAAATCAAGTGATTACACCGGCTCCTTTGGCTTCCCCCCCCCCCGCTATTAGTCGTGTCTCTCCGTTGGTCCCTGTCGGGTAATACGGCACAATTTCTGGCGTTTTATAGAACGAGCATCAAATAGATGCTTCTGGATAAAATTTAAGGGTTTTTGTTTGTTTGTTTGTTTGGTCTGGCTCTGCCCACCACCTGCCTCCAGACGCGGTGAAGGCTCCAACACTGGAAGTTTTTTAAGAAGAGACTGGACAGCCATTTGTCTGAAATGATATACAGGGTTTCCTGCCTGAGCAGGGGGTTGGACTAGATGACCTCCAAGGTCCCTTCCAACTCTGTTATTGTGTTAACTCTGTGACTAATCAAGGAGAGAAGCAACCTAGAACTAAGGAGAAATTTCCTGACAGTGAGAACAATTAACCAGTGGAACAACCTGCCTCCAGAAGTTGTGGGTGCTCCAACACTGGAAGTTTTGAAGAACAGACTGAACAGCCATTTGTCTGAAATGGGATAGGGTTTCCTGCCTGAGCAGGGGGTTGGACTGGATGACCTCCAAGGCCCCTTCCGACTTTATTATTATTAGTTATTATTATTAACAACCTGCCTCCAGAAGTGGTGACTACTCCAACACTGGAAGTGTTTTGTGTGTGTGTGTGTGTGTGTGTGGGTGGGTGGGTGGGTGTGTGTCCTTCCCGTCTCCTCTGCTGAACGCAGGACTTCAATTTTTGCAGGGGGGGGGAGGAAAAGAACAGAAAGCAACAGGGGTGTTTGTGTGTGTGTGTGTGTGTGTGTGTGTGCACGCGCGTGTGTGTGAAAACAAACAACCTTCCCCCCCGTCTCTCCCCCCCCCCCATACACACACACCAGAAAGTACACGCGCCATCGCTAAATGTCAACTCTCTCTCTCTCTTCGCCTGCACCGGGCGCGACAATAGCAGGTTCGTGGTGATCAACTCACCTGGTTTGGAGTAGGCACCCTATTCACAGTTTAATTGAATATTTGAATAATCTTTTCATTCCTGCGAGCAGAGCAGGAAGAATGCCTTCCCCCCCCCCCCGCCATCCCCGGCTCAGCTCGCCCCCTCCGTGGAGAGGCCCCCCCCCACTCCGCAGCCACAGTGGCAAAGGAGAGGAAGACTCCCGTCCCTACGACACACAAAAGCGCCCGGTCCCTGGTGAGGCTGGAAGGGGGGGGGGTTATTTCTATGCTCTCAAGTGTTCTTCTCATTCACAGCTGCCTTTGTTTGCCGGAGGCTTCTGATAAATTGCCATCGCTTATGGGAATGCGAGTCCGCAATAAAAAAGCCATTTTTTCTCTCTCCCCCCCCCCTCCCTCCCTCGTCGCTTGGAGTGGCTGCGGGGAGAATGGAAGTCAGCCGCCCCGCACGGCGGATGCAGACTAGGTCAATCCATTAAACTCTTCTGGAGAACAAAGCTAACCTGTGCCATACTCATAAATATTGCTGTTTGGAGAAGCCCTAATTTTAATTAAACCTCTTTAGCTACTCAGGAAGGGGTGGGGGGGTGGGGGGGGAAAGAGAGAGAGAAAGGAAAGAAGGGAGAAATCTATTTACGACTCGGAACGGCGGAGCCTCTCGTCCACATGTGTGCCGAGGGCCGCTCGGATTGTGGCACCACAAGGGGAGGGTGGGTAGGTGCACCTTCTCTGGCAGAGCACAATTGCAGCCGGCCCGCACAATAGGGGAGGTGGCTGGGCGCAGCTGAGCCTCCAAGGAAAGCAAAAGGCCAGGGCCCAGCCCCTGCTTGCCAAAGACTCGAATGCAGAGCCAAGGAAGTGAGGCGGGCATGGGTAACTGTTTGTCCCCCAGCTCCAGCAGGACGGTCGTTTTAAGGCAATGCAGAGGGCAGGGGAAGGAATGGAAGTTCTCCCTTGTGGAAAAGGGGGGGGGGTTCATGCTTCCTTGGAGAACGGGAGGATGTTAAGATGGCCTTCAGGCTGGGATCAGACCAAGAAAAGAGGAGATGATCAAGGGACTGGAGGCTAAAACATACAAAGAACGAACGGTTGCTGGGATTGGGGATGTCTAGTTGAGTGAAAAGGACCTGATAGCAGAGTTCCAATAGCTCATAAAGAAGAGGGGGATCAAATTATTTTCCAAAGTGCCTGAAGGCAGGACAAGAAGCAAGGGATGGAAACTAAGCAAGGAGAGAAGCAACCTAGAACTAAGGAGAAACTTCCTGACAGTGAGGAACAATTAATCAGTGGAACCACCTGCCTCCAGAAGCGGTGAATGCTCCAACATTGGAGGTTTTTAAGAAGAAACTGGACAGCCATTTGTCTGAAATGGTGTAGGGTTTCCTGCCTAAGCAGGGGGTTGGACTAGAAGACCTCAAAGGTCCCTTCCAATTCTTCTCTTCTCTTCTCTTCTCTTCTCTTCTCTTCTCTTCTCTTCTCTTCTCTTCTCTCTTGTCTTCCACTCCACTCCAATCCACTCTACTCCATTCCATTATACTCTACTCTGTTCTACTCTATTTTACTCTACTCTGCTCTACTCCGTTCCATTCCATTCCTTTACATTCTACTTTATTCTACTCTACTCTACTTTACTCTGTTCTACTCTACTCTGTTCTACTCTACTCTACTCTACTCTACTCTACTCTACTCTACTCTACTCTACTCTACTCTACTCTATTCCAGACCAGCTGGACACGTTCACAACATCTATGAGATGTTGACATGAACCTCTACTTGTCTACCACATCTACAAGAGTTGGCTGTTGAGCGTCCCTGACCATTGGAGGTCTGCTTGCTAGGATTCTGGTGTTGGCTTTCCCTAAGTCACCTCCAGAAGTTGGAGATGTCCCTGGCCTTTGCAGGTGGGCTCTAAATTGGCAGACCCCACCCCAGTTGGTAACACGTCCACCCAGCAAGGCAGGGAAGGAAATGAGACAAGCCAACCAGGGTTAGGAAACTTGGTGACACGTGGAGCAAAACAGAGAGACAAGTAAGCCTAGATCCAGCCCCAGGGAATTTTCCTTCACCCAGAAAGAAATACCTGATGCTTCAGGTATGACCACTTCCTGTTCCAGGAGAAACATTTGAATAAGTGGAACAAACACTATTTGATTTCGGCATCGGAGAATTTGGACAGGACAGCGTCTCCCAAAAATATATCGAGGAAGAATCTGGTCTTCTGCTATTAGAACCACAGATATTTTAGCCAAGTGGGGCGATGGCCACATCGAAAGCAGCTGGACCAAAATGGGGAAGAGGCTTTTTCACCCAGATCAGCCCAATGGACAGTTGTGGGACGGGACTGTAGGGACCTTGTTCCCCACAGTTCCTCCCCGTGGTTCCTGAACATCTGTTCTGCAGAGGTTTTTCAACTGGACTCCAAATTGTGGGGTCCCCAGCCTGCTCCCCCCCTCATCACAACCCCTTCCTTCTGCCACTTACCGAGGCTAAAGAGAATCAAGAATTTCAAGCAGACGAATTCTTGCCGATCCATTTGGATGGAGTGCAGGTTGAGCACCAGCTCCTGAGCTCTCAGCACCAAATTGTTCAGGATAGATCCGGCCTGGGTGGCAAGCGTTGACATGTCCACCTGGGAGGAAGGGAGGAGGGGAGAGAAAGGGCATCAAGGCGAGGTTGTAGAAATATTTATAGAAGTATATACTGAGAAGGTTAGATAAATAGAAGTGTTCATGTAAGAGAAAAATGAATCTTATTGTATATAATACAGATAGGGAAATTTGGAGAGAGGAGTTGCTCGGACATTACCCCTGAATTGTATCTGAAGAGGGACGAGAGGGAAGAAAGGAAAGGAGAGAGAAAAAAGTAAAGGAGGGAAGAAGGAAGTCGGAAGGATGGAGGAGAAGAGGAGAAGTGGGGAGAAAGGGGAGGAGAGTGGTGAAGGGAAGAGGAGAGGAAGAAGAGGGAAGTAGGGAAGAGAAGAAAGGGAGAAAGAAGGTAGAAAAGAAGGAGTGTGGATACAGTGAAAGGGGAAATGGGCGAGCAACACCAAAAGTCCTGTGTATGTATTTATTTCATTTTATTAAAAGTATCTTATATATGAATGTAAAAAGAATGGATGTTAACATCTGATAAATATCACGGTATACGTATGGGGGAGAGTTTGGAAAAATAAAAGATTATTAAAAAAAAAGAAAGGGCATCAACGCAGGATCTCCTCCTGGGGTTTCTTTCCCCCAATCCAGGGTGAAAAGCTGCAGAGCCTTAACGGGATGGGTCCAAGTCCGTTCTGGCTGGAAACGGCTGGAGCCCTCCGTTCATCTGCTCTGAGGTCACAGCACACCTGGCTAAGCTACCTGGAGATGCTACCTGGGATCTGCTCCCAAGCAAAGTCAGGCTGGACTGGAGCTTAATCGTCGAATGAGGATAAATGCATTGATGGGGGTCATTTTGGCTGGCTGCCCCCAGAGACAAAGCATAAAACGAGCTGGCAGGAGTCTCCCACCACTCGTTCCGAGCGTCAGTTTCCCCGCTCGTACCTCCTGGCCGGTCACCAGCACCAAGCTGTGCTCTTTCCCGTACTGGACTTGGCGGAAAATGTGGTCGAAGACCAGCAGTTCGCTCCAGCAGTTCTGCAGCAGCTTCATCTGGTCCCCAACCTCGGAAGAGAAGAAGCAGAAGGTTAGAAGAACGGATGGAAGCTGATCAAGGAGAGAAGCAACCTGGAATTAAGGAGAAACTTCCTGACAGTGCCTCCATTGTTGGAGCACTCACAACGTCTGGAGGCAAGCTGTTCCACGGATGAATTGTTTTGCACATCCAGGCCAGGCAGACCAGGGGAAAGCAACTTGAAACCATCTTTGAGAAGCAAAAGCAGGTTTGTGAACTCAGTGACAACACTCCAACATTTGGGGAAAACCTCTTCAAATTTGCTGCCTACGATGTAATTCATCCCTAAGCTAATAATACTCAAACACGCACCGATCTGCCCTCCAGTCACCCATCCCTTTCCACCAAGTGTCGGATTTCTGAATTGAGGCAGCTTGCATTTTGGACTGAAGAGCTGGGTGAGAAGAAGGAAGAAAGGCGACAAAGGGAAGCTAGTTGGATCCTGCAACTTAAAACCAACCCAAGGGAGACACAATGGAGTCGGCCCGTCTTTAGCTGCCTGTGCAAAACGCCACTGCTTATTCCAAAGCAGGGGTAGTCAACCTTGGCTCTTTTATGACTCGTGGACTTCAACTCCCAGAATTCCTGAGCCGGCTCAGGAATTCTGGGAGTTGAAGTCCATGAGTCATAAAAGAGCCAAGGTTGACTACCCCTGTTCCAAAGCTTTGGCGTTTGTGTCTAATCCTGCACGTGTTTCCTAGAAGACCCCGGTGTGCATTTGTTGGTAAACAAGGACAGGTCCTCCTTGATTTACGACCACAGTGGAGCCTGAAATTTCCGTTGCTAAGCGAGATGTTTGTCAAGGGGAGTTTTGCCCCATTCCACCAACATTCCTTCATTAAGTTGATCGTGGAAGTTGTTAACGTCGTTACGAAGCGAACCCCGTTTTCCCCGTTGACTTTGCTTGTCAGGTCACAAAAGGGGATCCCATAAGCCACGGGAAGACACTGCGACCAATCATAAATACGAGTCAGTTGCCAACTGTCTGAATTTCGATCATGTGACCGCGGGGATGCTCCCTTTTTTCCGGTGCCGTTGTAACTTTCAACAGTCACGACATGAACTAATACCGCTTTACAAGGCCTTGGTGAGGCCACATTTGGAATACGGCATCCAGTTTTGGTCACCACGATGTAAAAAAGATGTTGAGACTCTGGCAGAGAAGAGCAACAAAGATGATTAGGGGACTGGAGGCTAAAACATGTAAGGAACGGTTGCTGGAATTGGGGATGTCTAGTTTAACGAAGAGAAGGACCGGGGGGGGGGGGGGAACAGGATAGCAGTGCTCCAATATCTCAGGGGCTGCCCCAAAGAAGAGGGAGACAAGCTATTCTCCAAAGGGCCGGAAGGCAGGACAAGAAGCAACGGATGGAAACTAACCAAGGAGAGAAGCAACCTAAAACTAAGGAGAAACTTCCTGATAGTGAGAACAATTAACCAGTGGAACCACCTGCCTCCAGAAGCGGTGAATGCTCCAACACTGGAAGTTTTTAAGAAGAGACTGGACAGCCATTTGTCCGAAACAGTATAGGGTTTCCTGCCTGAGCAGGGGGTTGGACTAGATGACCTCCAAGGTCCCTTCCAACTTTATTATTATTATTATTATGGATCATCGCATAATCAGCCAGATGTTCAGATTGGATTTGGCATTTTGCCTACCTATCGAGTCCTTACCAAGGACCTGTTATTATTATTGTTGTTGTTCTTATTGTTGTTATTATCATTATTATTAAATGTAAGTCGAGGATTAACAGTAACATCTTGAAGCCCCAGGGATCTCATAAAAGTGTGGAAAAGTCCCACCGGGATAGGAAAAAGTTCTCCTTTTTTTTCTGTATTAATGTTGGGTTTTACGTTTTGTGGGAAAAGGGGAAAGAGAAATGTGTGTGTGTGGGGGGGTGTCCGTGGGGAGACAAAGACACACAAGGCAGAAGATGCTTGAACCAGCAAATCTCCAGAGGGGCTATTTAGAGGTGAAAATTGTTTTCAGGCTGGCTAATGGGGCCATTTCAGTGGGGGGGGAGAGAGTGTGGGGGGGAGGGATTTCCTGGGATTTCTAAGAGAAGAAGGAATGCCCTAGGTGTAAAATTAAAGAAAAGTTCAAATTTGCGCAAAGATTAGATAGAGGTGCATCAACTTTCTCTCTAAAGCACGTAAGATTCATTTTGAATCTCTGAGGTGGCTGAGCGGACGTGTCTGTGTGCTTGTGTGTGTGTGTGTGTGTGTGTGTTGTGTGCATATGCATTTCTTTTTTTGTAGACGACCAAAATATGAAAGCAGAAGCATTTGGGGGTCTTGCAAGCCCTACTGAACAACATTCAAAATTGCACAGCCCGGATCTCTACGAATGTCGGGCACACCTGTGTTCCCCTATGACACACACACACACACACACATGCACATACACACACACCAAACCCAGGGATGAACATGGGTGGGAGTTTCATCCAGAATGCAACAATTGCGTTGTAGGGAAAGTGCAGGGAGGTGTGTATGTGTGTGGGGGGGGGGGTTTAGCTGTGCACGCAATTATTTGGTGAAGATTGAAGCTGTCACTTGAACAATCTGTGAAGAGGGGGGGAAGGAAAGACAATCACACTTCCTCACAAGTCGAAGGTGTTAATAACAGGCGAAGCCCCCCCCCTTCAAATGCCAGGGTGATGGACTCCCTCATCCTCCACCTCCACCCCCACACACACACCAAGCCTTGCATCACACGGGAAACCTTTAATCCAGCGCTATGATGGGCAGCCAATACGTTTGATCAATAGAATGAATAAATAAATGAATAAATAAAAGATAGCTGAGCCAAGGAGAGGGAGCTTAACCCCCTGGCTGGATTAGTTCAGCCCCAAAGCTGCAACTTTTCTAACTGCTTTTCCCCCTAAAGGGAATAAAGGGGGGGGGTCTCCTTCGAAACCAAATTGCTCTCCGAATTCCTTAAGCAGTTAGCGGCTGGAATGGAGATCATCGGGGACCCAGGTTAAACAAGCCAAAGGACGAGGCCAGGAGAGGCAAGAAGGGCCCAATCCACCAGCCCGAGGCATGCTGGGTAACATGGGAGGAGGGGTCTAGCCTTCTAAGCCATCCTTAAACATCTTTCTCCCCCCCCCTCCACAAAATCAAAGGGGACCCGGATTGATGCTTGCAAGGGTTGCACTAGGAACCCAAGGGGAGAGGGTGGGTGGGGGTCTCTGCCCCCAAACAGAGACCAGATTCACACAACACATCCTAAGCTAAGGAAAAGAGGTTGTTCCTGGCTCTGTCTGGGAAAGGAGGGGGGAAATGTCCAGCATGTATGAACCCGAGCCTTAGCATTAACCCAAATTAACCCTGGTTGATTTGTCTGCCGGTTTAAAATCGACCCGTAGCCGCTGTAGACTTTAGATTGAGGTTTAGTGAGTTGTCAGAATGGGGTGCCCTGTGCAAACTCTCCTGTCTTGCTCCAAGCCAAGGGTTTTCCCCCACCCCACCCCACCCCGGGGAAAACAAAAAACAACAACAACAACAACAAAAGAGAGAGAAAGGAGCAACAGAAAAACAGAGGAGAAATAGACACAGGCTTAGCCAGGCAGTTGCGTACAGGAAAAGCTCAAATCTGCAGCACCTGCCTAGTCGGACACCAGAGCCAATCAGCCACAGCCGGCTCAGGCAGAGGGCAAGAGGATCCATTGCATTTCCCAGCAATCCTCAGAACTAAGCTTTGATTAGGACTCATTTCTGCTGCCCAAGTCGGTGGCTGATGATTTTCTCTCTCTCCCACCCACTCGCCGTTGTTCTCACACAACTATTGTGATTAAAATGGCAAAGGAGCAGCCTCTGGGGGTGGGGGGGGGGGCTTTCCAAGAAGCCTCCAGCCCCTGGCCCTGCCCAGCACATCCTAAGGAGGGGGGGGGAAGACCCTCCCCCCTGCAAGGAGAAGCAATCCTCTTGACCTGCCTATAGTCCGCGATGGTGCTCTTTGAGACATTTCCTTATCTAACTAGGCAACTTCCTCCGTGTTGGCGAGGGTAGGGGGTGCTCCTTGTTTGCCTGAACCTGGAAAAGACCCCCAAGAGGAGCAGAGCACACCCCTTGTCCCCCACCCCCCCAATTCCTATTCGTTCAAGCCATGCTTAGCACTCTCGCTCTCTCTCCCAGCCTTACAATTTGGACCTTAAGGACCGGTCAAGGCTGAGAGGCTTCCATTGGAATTCTCTACAGACCCTGCAGAGACCCTTCCCCTATTTCAAATAAGGCAGGGGGAGGTTCTCTGCTGTGTCACTAATGTCCATCCCGGGCTCACCTTTCTCCAGAGGTGATAAATGTACCTGGTAGCCAGGGATGAAATTACACTGAGCACTGATGGTGTCACCTCTTTTGCGTAATGAAAGGTCTGCAAGAAAACCACCAAGCTCAGAGAGCACCAAAGACTCCACAGTTCTCCTCCTCCTTCTCCTCCCTGCAAACCCCATTCCCCTCTAGCCCTGATGAAATAACCTAGTTGGGTAATGAAAGGTCTGCAAGAAAACCACCAAGCTCAGAGATCACCAAGGACTCCACAATCCTCCTCCTCCTCTCTGCATCCTTCTAGCACTGATGGATGATGTTACCTAGTTGGGTCTTGAAACGTCTGCAGGAAAAACCACCAAGCTCAGAGAGCAGCAAGGACCCCACAGTCATCCTCCTCCTCCTCCTCTTCTCCCTTTCCACAGACCCCATTCCCTTCTACCACTGATGATGTATCCTTGTCAGGTAATGAAACAACTCCAAAGATGATCAGGGGTCTGGAGGCTAAAACATATAAGGAAAGGTTGCTGGAATTGGGTATGTCTAGTTTAATGAAGAGAAAGACCAGGGGGGACAGGATAGCAGTCTTCCAATCTCTCAGGGGCTGCCCCAAAGAAGAGGGAGTCAAGCTCTTCTCCAAAGCCCCTGAAGGCAGGACAAGAAGCAAAGGAGGGAAACTCATCAAGGAGAAAAGCAACCTAGAACTAAGGAGAAACTTCCT